AGAGTCTCTGGGTGAAAAGTATGTGCAAGAAGAGTTTCTGGGTGAAGAGTTTCTGGGTCAAGAGTCTCGGTGAAAAGTATGTGCAAGAAGAGTTTCTTGGTGAAGAGTTTCTGGGTGAAGAGTCTCTGGGTGAAAAGTATGTGCAAGAAGGGTTTCTGGGTGAAGAGTCTCTGGGTGAAAAGTATGTGGGGGAAAAGTCTGTGGGTGAAAAATCATTGGGGGAAAATAGGGGTAGATGGGATGCTGGCTTTCGTTCCCCCCTTCTCAGGTTGTGTTTTTTGTTTTGAGAGCGGACTATCGTGGGGGTGGAGTGGTGAAAGTATTGGTTTTGCAGTTTTTTTGAGATATGGAAATGGTTTGCACATGAAGCCACAAATCACGACTGTCCAGAATACTACATTTTCTACAGAGATGTTGTCTCTTTCCAAGAATGCTTCATTTTTTGTTCAGCACTTTGGAAAAGAACATATGTCTATATACAATGATTTTGATGCCTGCAATGAATTCTGCATTGTATTGTTGTACATATTACCATATGTATGTATATATATACACACTATTTGACAAATTTATTGTTTTCTTCACAATAGTTTATGCTTCTCGACAAATATGTATTTGATATTGAACATACATGAGTGCAATTTCCAGCTGCAAATTCTGCATTTTTTGAAAAAGTGTTCTGCATACTTTCATGCTGTTCATGAGTGCTTTTCAAAAAAGAACATGTCCAGATTGAACATGCACTTCTTCAAAAGATGGTTTAACTACGATTGAATCTAGACCTTTTCCAGGCATAATCTATATTTTGCCTTAAAAGCGTTGCCTTGTTGAAAAAAAGTAGTACACTTGCAGGGAATCAATACACTTTGTGCATGAAAGCGCATCTGAAACTTGAGAAATGTACTTCCCGAAAAGACTGCCGTATCTTGAACAATTTTTTTTTGAGAAGATCATGCACCTTGAAGACAACCCTGCTTTCTGCAGTGAATTGTGTACTGTACCTTTGTGAAAATGCAAAAATACAAGCACATGTTTGATTTTTTTTTGCATGCTCTGCGCAATTGCTGCTCCTTTCAAAGGAGATAATGGGCTGTAGCCTGTATTGAACAAAAATTGGCTGTATTCTCTAGCTATAGGCTGTACACTTCCTGCTAGGGGTATTGCATCCTTGAATGGCATATTGCTCATTTTTGTAGGAGTGATGTCTGACTAGTGGGAGGAGGAAGGATTCGCGTTGAACATTTTGTATATTTCAACCATACATGTTATTTGAAAGACTAGTACATCGTAGACTAGTGTTTTCAAGATATAATGCATGACTACAAAAATGTTGCTTCTTTCAACCTATTACATTGTACAATGAAAAGTTGAACCTTCAAATGTTAAATGAACATGTCTATTCAAAGGAATACCAACATTTCTTCAAGAAATGCTGTATCTGTGGCATGCAAGAGTTGCCAAGAAGAATCATGTTGCATTCTACAAAATAGTATCTGCTTCTTCCAAAGGAAAACAACATTCTTCTTTAGAGGATTCTTGTCTTGTCGCGAGGGATACAATATTGCCTTTTTGAAGGAGCAAACACTTTGAGACAAACATATTTTTTGTACAGCAAAGTGTTGCTTAAACAATCCATTTTTGAAAAATAGATGTTTGATATTAGATATAACTTTTAGTGATTCCAGGTTTGAAGAACACGAGCCAAACCTTTAAATATGAGGAACCAAAACCTCGGCATACCAGCAGAACATCAATCCAATGGAGTGCCTGAAGAGGTGGGTGATAAAGCTGTTTTTACTGTACATTTTCTCTGATGGCTCAGTAGCCAAAATCAGTAACTCAATAAAGAAATCAATATAAAATGTGGAGGGGTGAAAGCTGTGTCAATGGATGTTTGTCAGGGTGAACATTTCTCCCAGGAGCCCAAGAAACAGGAAAACAAAAAACACAAAAAATGAGCAACTGATATTGTTGGACTGACACAGTTGCAAAAACCTCGAGAAAGCCAAAAGAACCAAAGTTTCGACCCATGAGAGGGTCAGAAGAGCTGGACAGGTGACATGGGGTGAAACTTTTTGTTTTTTTCTCCAACAGCGTAAGCTAATGGGGTCTTCAGCCCAGAATAGCTCCGGTGTGCACTTGTGCAGGCGCCGGGTCAGGTTCAACGAGGTTCCGGAGAAGGTTCCAAAGGTTCCGGAGAAGGTCTGGGAGGCTTTGGTGCAGAGCGAGGTCAGGTTCAACAGGGTGCCGGAGAAGGTTCCGGAGAAGGTCTGGGAGGCTTTGGTGCAGAGCCAGGTCAGGTTCCGCAAGGTTCCGGAGAAGGTTCCGGAGAAGGTTCCGGGAAGCCTTGGCGCAAAGCCAAGTCAGGTTCAAAGCGTTCCGGAGAAGGTTCCGGAGAAGGTTCCGGAGAAGGTTCCGAAGAAGGTTCCAAAGGCTTTGGCGCAGAGCCAGGTCAGCTTCAACAGGGTTCCGGAGAAGGTTCTGGAGAAGGTCTGGGAAGCTTTGGTGCAGAGCCAGGTCAGGTTCAACAGGGTTCCGGAGAAGGTTCCGGAGAAGGTTCCGGAGAAGGTCTGGGAGGCTTTGGTGCAGAGCCAGGTCAGGTTCAGCAGGGTTCTCCGGAGAAGGTTCCGGAGAAGGTTCCGGGAGGCTTTGGTGCAGAGCCAGGTCAGGTTCAACAGAGTTCCAAAGAAGGTTCCGAGGAGAAGGTCAAGGAGGCTTTGGTGCGTTCCGAAGAAGGTTCCGAGGAGAAGGTCAAGGAGGCTTTCGTGCAGAGCCAGGCCAGGTTCAACAGGGTTCCGGAGAAGGTTCCAGAGAAGGTTCCTGCAGGAAGCCTTGGTGCAAAACCAAGTCAGGTTCAACAGGTTCCGGAGAAGGCTCCGGAGAACAGGGCTCCGGAGAAGGCTCCGGAGAACAGGGCTCCGGAGAAGATTCCGGAGAAGGTTCCAGGAAGCCTTGGTGCAAAGCCAAGTCAGGTTCAACAGGGTTCCGGAGAAGGTTCTGGAGAAGGCCTGAATGTTCCGGAGAAGGTCTGGGAGGCTTTGGTGCAGAGCCAGGTCATGTTCAACAGAGTTCCGGAGAAGATTCCGGAGAAGGTTCCAGGAAGTCTTGGTGCAAAGCCAAGTCAGGATTAACGGGTTCCGGAGAAGGTTGCAGAAGCCAAGCCAGGTCAGGTTCATTCAACTCACGGAAACCCAGCTGAGGTTTTTCCAGCGCTTGGCTTCGCAGCACGATTCGAAAAGATTTGTAAAAATAAAACGTTGCGGTTGTTGGGGATACCGCCGAAGCTTATTTTGTTTTTTTTGTTTTTTCCATGGGTTTTGTGGCATTTTTGGGCCAATGTGGCAAAAACCTCGAGAACACAAAAAAAACAAAAAAACAAAAGTTTCGACCCATGAAAAGGTCTGAGGAGAAGCTGGACAGGTGACATGGGGTGAAACCTTTTTTTTGTTTTTCCATGGGTTTTGGGGCATTTTTGGGCCAAGGTGGCAAAAACCTCGAGAAAACAAAAAAAAAAAATCGACCCATGAGACGAGAGGGTCTGAGGAGAAGCTGGACAGGTGACGTGGGGGTGATTTTTTTTTGTTTTTCCATGGTTTTGGACCAGTTTTTGCCTCTTTCAGAATTTGGATTGTTTGTATGAGAGTTTGTGATAGACCCAAACTTCAGGAATGGAAAGCAGATCAGCAGACAGGATGAGTATAAGCAGACAGTGCAAAACATGCGCGTTTCTACAATGTGCACGCCTTCACCCCCCATGATCATCCCTTCTGTTTGTTAGTTTTTTTTCTTGTTTTTTTTGTTTTTTTGATTTTGGTTTTGTTTAGCCATTGCAGAAAACCCAAAGCAGTGAGAGAACCATGGCACATGTGCAGTGTCAGTGGTTGCAGAATGCAGTGAAAGACCGCACTCCCAGGGTGTCCCCTTCTGTAAAATAACATAATATAAATGAATAAACAAATAAGCAAATAAATAAATAAATAGAAAAAAATAAGTAAAATAACATAGCATAACTAAATGAAGAAATAAAATAAACAAACAAATAAAATAAATAAATATATACATATAAATAAATAAATATATATATGTATATATATATGTATCTATTGCCATACCCTACCCCTGGCCACTCTCAGTTGGGATCCCAGGCTCTGGGACTCCGAGAAGTCGGAGTTGGAACGTAGCCGACGTGTCCAGCAACAGCTGCGTGCGGTGCTGCTGCCCTTGCAACAGAGGTAGCCAGCTGTGGGGATTTTCAGTGGCTCAAAATATGGGGATTCAAACGATGTGGGATAGCAATGGGGATAATTGAATAAAATCACACATACTATATGATACTATATATATATACATACATACATACATACATACATACATATATTTACACACACATGTATATATATATATATACGTATGTACATAGAATCAACCGATTGGCTGAAAATGATGGGTGTGGCATGATGGGTCGATATTTAAAGAATGCGGCATCAAGCAGACACGGGCATGGTTGAAAATTCTTGGCACCAAAAGCTGGATTTCGCGACGGCGGAAGCAATTTCAGTAGGACTGAAGGATGGGAATCTCAAATACACGGATGATAGTCATCATGTTTTCCGTGAAAATCGAATTGATGTTGATGGTACATCCATGACTAAGTGCTCCAACAAAGTTCGCACGGCCTCCTGACCTGTGGCTCGGAGGGCTTTGCTTGTTGGGGGATAGGCCGTGAAAGGATTTGGAGTTTTTTTTTTTTTCGCACAGACCATACGGCCAGCAACACGCCTCAGAACAGTGAAGAGGTCTCACACAGCCGCTACTTGCAATCCATACTCGATTTTCCTACTCCAGCCACATCCATGAACATGTGTTTGTCCGAACATGTCGGGAAGATGATGATCAACATCAACAGTGAGATTTTGGGTTAGTCTATTTTCAGACAAAGCCATAGATTGGCAATCTACAGCCTCACCGGCTTTGCTCCATCAAAAGATGGTCTGCAAGCCATGTTTGAGACAACAGGCAAAGGGATGAAATGGATGAACTGGTCAGGTCTTTGACCGAGCCGAGAACCCCTTAATTTGAAGACTCCTTTCTGGCCAGGGGGAAGAGAAACACTTTTGGAAGGGACATTTTCTGAAGCGAGAGGCTCTCAATCTCCCAGGCAAAAAAAAATATGAACCCAGCTAGGCGCAGTGAATTGAAATCCAAAAATGAGACTTGTGGTGTGAACAGTTTTTTGATGCGCCTTGTTGTTTCAAAAGATATTTTCACAACCCATTGCATTATTTTTATCATCATCATTATTTATGATTATTATTTACCAAGTGCGGATTCCGAATTGTTTAGAAAGGCAGCCTTGGTTATCCACTCAAAGAATATATGGTTATCATTCAATATCATATATCCATATATATAACACATATATATATAACATATATATTTAATTTAAAACATATATATATATATAGATATATAACATATATATATATATTTAGCATATATATAATTATGTGATTTATATATATTTAATATGTTACATATATATATAACATATATATATATATATCACATAATCATATATATATAACACACACATATATATATATTTAAACCAACACACACATATATAACATATATATATATATATAACATATATTTAACATATATATATAAAATAATATATGTATATATGTTATAACATATATATAACATATATATATATAACATATATATATAACATATATATAACATATATATATATATATAACATATATATAGCATATATATATATATAACATATATATAACATATATATAACATATATATATGACATATATATAACATATATACAACATATATATAACATATATATATACACACCACATATATATATATATAACATATATACAACATATATATAACATATATATATATATGTATATATATATACGCAACGACTGGACTTTGCCCAGGCGTTGCAGCGTAGAGGTTTCCCATTCCCAAACAAATGTTGATGCAACTTCACAAAATTCCTTTGGGAAAGGCAACAAAGGTACTAGGGAATATTAACCTCCCACCCCCGTTGAACTTTAAATTCCTATGGGAAAAACAACAAACGCACTAGGGAATATTGAGCTCCCACCCCCGTTAAACTTTACATTCCATTGGGAAGATCAACAAAGGTACTAGGGAGTATTAAACCCCCCCACCCCCGTTAAACTTTACATTCAATTGAGAAGATTAAAAAAAGTATTAGGGAATATAAGAATCCCACCCCCGTTGAACTTTACATTCAATGAAGATCTTCAATAAGGGTTTATTTCTCCCACCCCCGTTAAACTTCTACATTCATTGGAGATCTTCAACAAGGGTTTAATTCTCCCACCCCCGTTAAACTTCTACATTCATTGGAGATCTTCAACAAGGGTTTAATTCTCCCACCCCTGTTAAACTTCTACATTCATTGACGATCTTCAACAAGGGTTTTTAATTCTCCCACCCCCGTTAAACTTCTATCTTCATTTTGAAGATCTTCAACAAGGGTTTAATTCTCACATCCCCGTTAATCTTCTACATTCATTGAAGATCTTCAATAAGAGTTTAATTTTTCCACCCCCGTTAAACTTCTATCTTCATTTTGAAGATCTTCCACAAGGGTTTGATGATGATGATGATGATGATGATGGTGATGATGCTGATGCGTTGCCTGTCGTGGTTGCGGTTCCTGGCAAAACCCAGGCATTTGCCGTGTATATATATATATATGACAATATATATAACATATATATATAACATATATATATATATAACATATATATATAACATATATATATATATACCATATAGAATATATATATAGCATATATATATACCATATAGAATATATATATATATATAACATATATTTATATAACACACACATATATATATATACATGTATGGTTCCCATGATATCCCCATTACATACCCACTGTTTGATGGTGAAATCCACCGAGAACTCGTACAGGTCACTGGGTGTCCTCTGCTGATCTCTCAAGACCTGGGACATCTCTGGTAGCTCAGCGTGACCAGCGGGCTGCTTTGGGGATGTTTTTCAACACTGTAACACCCATTGATGGTAATATTTGGGATCTGGCTGTCTATCTATCTATCTATCTGTCTATCTATCTATCTATCTATCTATCTATCTTAGCTATCTATCTATGTATCTACCTGTCTGGAATACAGCCTGAAAAGGCCAGAGGCTAGCTGGAACCCACCAAACATATAGGGCAAACTGGGCCATTCATGAATGTGTGACGATTTTTTGGAAACCACATGTTCATTTGGGTTTCACCGTGACCGAGGCGGACATCAACAAGACCTTGCAGAAACGACTGCAGGGCCTGAAGGCGCCAGCGAAATCTTCATTTGGAGCACTAAAATCTGAAAAGTCCATGGTCTATCATCATTTTCGTGAATTTTCCTTGTAACCAACATTGCAATCACTTGGGGTGTTCCCTATTTAATAGGAGTCTATCTTGAGCCCGAATTGCTGACTTCGTGGCAGAGTTTTGTTTCAACTCTTCGCATTTTGTCAAACCGCCATGAATACGGGGGCAACCCGTCTCATTTTGTCAAGCTACGATGAATATGGGGGGACTGAGAAGATCCAGACTAGGTAAAATGGTTCTAGGGACACCCCATTTTCAGACAAACCCAATACAACTCCAATGCGAGAATTAGGTTTGGTTGATGATTCATCACTGGATTTACCGCAGAACCATCATGGATGATGCCACCGATGCCTACTCCTCTTCTGGCTGCCAATTTCTCTGCCTCTAAAGATAAATGGCAACTGGTTTGTCTCCAGTACATACCAACCATGTTTGGGCAACGTTCACAGTATTCAGTATTCCAGATATGTTTGTGTTGTATCCACACTTTTGGCATCCTTTGGCTGTTTGTAAAGGCATGAACTAGGCGGGTCCTGTCAAGTCATGATTAGCAGCTACCAAATTATGATGGATCGATCTATCCATCCATCCATACAGGTCCGAAATCTCAACAGCCGTGGCAAGTCCCGTGGAGACGCACATAAAGCCAGGCACAGGGCCAGCAAAGACGTGTTTCTTCGGCCAATAAAGCAAGGTGTCCTTTGACTGGGTAAATCCTTTGGTTTTGTATGAAACACAAGAGTTGCCTCGTAGCATTGGTTCAATCAATTCCCACATTTTGCCGCTAAACTCCTAATGTTTGGTGGTCAAATCCCCCAATCTATCCCTCAATCTGACCTGAGGGGCTGAATCCCTGCAGTGCTAGGTGCCGGCTGACTCCCCTGGTGAAGCAGAAAACATCACGTTGGGAGCTGAAGAAGAGGGAGACCTTTGGGATTTTTTGAAATTATTTTCGTTCTTCACCATCCATTTATTTGTGGATCCATGGCCATTTTTTTCATTATCCAGTTGTTACAAATTATGTACCCTCTGGTAATTTAACATAGCTATTGAAAATGGCCATTTATAGTGGATTTTCCCATTAAAAATTGTGATGTTCCATAGTTATGTTAGTTTACCAGAGGGTATCTAGATTATTGATCTCCACGGCCATGCCATGAAACAATGATTCGTTGTTGCTGCGCCTGCTGGGTGTTGGAAGTATGATGATTGCGCTGGAGCAAAGACACTATGGCATCCTAACAAGAATTCACGTAGCAACAAAAAGATCCAGAAATATCCAATGTAAAACTATGTAAAGGTCCCAATTATGGCACTATATATTATAAATTATATCCCATTATAATCCCATTTTAAAGTCCCTTAAAAGTGACCTGGGATCTCCAGGTCACCAGTCGTGTTACGACCAGCTGGTAGGTGCAGAGACCGCTGGGAGCGTTCCAGGTGAGAAAGTGATTTCCAGGTGTCGGATGCGGTGGGATGTCGGGGTGGGGTTGAATGGATCTCCGAAAAACGGGGTCGAAATGATCGTTCTGTAAATCAACAGATCAAAACCGTCAAAACCGAAAAGAAAAGACCCTTGGGCCCTTGGATAGTTTTGGACCATTGATTGAAACAGCCACGTTTTTTTTTTGAACCAAGTCCCTGATGTTAGGAACTGACCGCACAACGACCAGGCCTTGTAGCCAATCCCTTCCGGGTTTGAAGCTCAGCAGCGAATCTCTGTTCATGCAGGTTGTCTTTTTCAAACAGAAGCAGCTATGGATGGTTTATGGCTGGAAAATCCCATAAAAATGGATGATGAAAATGGAGTACCCCCAAAGATTTGGACCCTCCATATGTTTTCTGGCGCCCCACCATGAGCTGCTGATTCACCTTCTTGGCGCAGCCATCTGGCTCTGCATGTGACGAATCCATCTTTCCAAAGGAAAGCATTGGGCGCCAGCCGTTGGGCTTTGCCCTAGAGACTTGGCTCGTGGAAGTGCTGTGGATGGGAAATGGCAGTGTATCACTATTGGTGTGGGTAGGTAGTAGGTATGGCTTGGTTTTCCTTCATTCACGAAATGTCATCAAAGGCCATACTTCAAGTTTGAAATCAGAAATTGGCCAAAGTTGTGATTCCATTCATTCTCCATTCCCACCCAAGTTTTTTAAGCCATGTCCAAGCAAGTCAGGAATCAGCCAATGGCGGCCGCCAGTAGCGCCCCGAACTCTTTGGAGACCGCCACCTTGAAATCCTCCATGACGCATGCCTATTTGACCAGCAAATTCCAGGCATTTTGGCCTGGTGCAGTTGGGAGTTTCCAGAAGCTGATTCCCGGAAAAGCGTGGACAGATGTGGAAAGATGACATGATGACGCTAGGCAAATCTTCCGTTTCCACTCACACATGTGGTACCTTTGATATCCTTTGATCTGTTGCTTCTCTTTCGACTCCACCTGCAGGTTGGGTCTGCCAAGAGCGACAAGATCAACTACACCTTGGCACAGAAGGTGTTCCACAGCGGCGATGTGCCGCACGAGGTTGGGATGGAAGGGATGGTCGGTTGGAACTGCAGGGGGTTGGAGGGGAGAAATGATGCGCAGAGAAAAATGAGTGCCTTAGTGCCTTGACGGCGGATGGTCTGACATCTTGACATATCTTGACATATCTTGACTTTGAGGTTGTTTTGGACGTTTTGGACTTGGGAACTGAAACTTCTTGCCAAGGTCTCCTCAAAGCACCATGACCGTGTCAGAAAACGGATTGCCAGGTGTTGGATTCCAAACGAGCAGTGCAGAAAAAGAAGCAGCCGAATATCCTGGGCACCGAGAAAAGGGATTGGCTGCTTGGCAGTATTTGACAGGATGCCCTCGTCCTGCAGGGGTTCCAAAAAGTTGGGAAAAGTTCCAAGGCTTGTATGATGCTGTTACCAAATTTCTAAGCAATGGATGCCCAGCTATAGTTCCTTTTGGTTTTCCTTGTTCAAGAGATAGCCGGGGCCATTAGGAACTCCTCCACCATTGCGGACCAGAAGATCCAGAAAGATATGCACAAGGAGATTCAGCGATTGTAGTGGTGGGTGCATGGGCAATTCCTGGATGTCGACCAGTGTGCGGGTTTGTCTGTAGGGCAAAATAATGCCAAATGCATCTGTACGGCACGGAAACACCAAAACAGTGCCACAGCGATAGCAAGTTTAGTAGCATCATGACTGGCTGGATCTCGTCAACTTGAACACAGAAGCCAAAAATATTGAGGTCGAACTTGCTGTCAAGATTCACTCCCAGCAAAGGCCTTAAACGTATATTACGTATATTATCAACCGGCATCAAAGTGCATGACATGAACGGCTGCAAAATGACCTTTTGCCCAAGCCTGGCAGATCCATCGTCCATTTCTGTTTCTTAATCCCCATTTTTGCCATGGGTTCTGGCACCAGCAGCGAAGCTAGCGCCCCTTCAGCGGAGAAAGTGCAGGTGACGCTGGAAGATTTGGAGCTGCCTCCCCGCCGTGAACGTCCCAGTGCCGCCACACCCGTGAGCCAACTGCTGGGCCCTGCAGCTGCCACTGGCACAGCACCGGGAAACGGGCCGCCAGGTGCAGCCCGGCCGAAGATGACTGAGGAGTTGTTGCCGGGAGCCGAAGCCAGGGGACAGCGGGCATTCCAGGAAGATGGATTGGTGGGAACTGAGGGGCAACAACTGCAGTTGTTGGCATATTATGCTGAGCTTTGTGAGGATTTTCGACACTACCAGAGGATAACCAGAGAGGAGGGAGGTCCTTTACAGGCTGATGGAGCTCAACTGCTTCTGTTGAACGGGCCTCCTGGGACAGGCAAGACGCGACATGCTGTCAGCTTTGCGAGGGCCTTGGGTTTGCCACTGCTGGCCATGAACCCAACACAGCTTGGAACCAATGGACAAGTCTCAAGTGCTTGGGCTTCATCTATTCGACAGGAGATCAGTGGCCGCGATTGCATCTTATTTTTGGATGAAATTGATCAGTTCGCCAAAGATGAGGCCTTTGCCTCGGGTCTACGGCAATTCTTGGATGGTGTGTGTCAACCCTCCGGCAGTAAAGTGCTGGTGGTGGGGACCACCAATCGGATCGACCGATTGCATGCGGACGTGCGGCACAGGGCTGAGCTGGTGAACTTTGAGCGACCGGAGAGGCTGCATCTGGAGGCGATGTGGAAGAGCTATGCTAAGCATTTGAACGAGGAGGAGCTGTCTCATTTGGCTGGTTCCAGCATGCTGCAGAAGGCAGGACAGTTGAAAGTTGAACTGATTTTGAGATATTTTGAGATCATTCAGATCCAAGCGGCAGATGGACTTAGGTAAAGTCTTTGTTTCTAGTCTTTGGGGTGTCCAATTCTGGACCCTCAGGCCACTGGTCGGGATGTAAAGCACTGTGCTTCCCTGTGCGAGCGTGAGACCGCAATCGCCTATTTGTTTCCCGGCAGTTCAGTGGCCTAAAGTGTTCTACAAATATCCACACAAAGGGACCTAAACAAGAAGTACCCACTGGTAAACTAACATAGCTATTGAAAATGGCCATTTGTAGTGGATTTTCCCATCAAAAATGGTGATTTTCCATAGCTATGTTAAATTACCAGAGAGTAGCATCAGTATCTCCATAGAACACCTCCCTTACAATCTGTCTTCCCCAAAGAGTCGAGCATGATACTGTCAGGCTGGTGGTGTTTTCAAGCAAACATATCTGCGTTTTCCAGCCTGTTTGGCTGGTGCTGAAACTACCAAGTAATTACATGTGAATCGGACAGCATCAGCGCCCAGGAATGAGCAACAAGCCTTGGGCTACTGTCATGGTGCAGCTTTATCCAATTGTCCCGGGCCCAAGGTGCCTTTGTCTGGCAGCCATGAGTTTTGTGGCCTGCCCCCTTGATTCCAGGTTTCTGCTGTTGATGGGGGTGGTCTCCCCTAACCCAACCTTGACCCAGGTTGAGAGATACATCCGCTGTGTGCAGAGCCGCAGCATCGAGTAAGCCATTACGAAGCAGAGCAGTTGCTGACCGTCAGCAAACCGAGATCCGTTTTTTTTCTGCTTGTCCTCAGAGGATTTTTTCTCGGGAATCTGCTGAAGTTGTATCCAGATGTGGGCATTGATTTTTCTGCGAGCATCTGCGCTTGGAGAATGGTGCTGGAAGACGCTGACGAAGGTGAGGAGGCTGAAGGGTTTAGAGGGAACAGCCCTCGCAGTCGCAGCGAGAGCAGCTCAAGAAAACGAGACTTTGGACAGCTTTCGACATGCCTGGACGTCAGATTTCCTCGGATTGGGAACATTTATAATCGATAGCCAGCTTCGTTTTTTTTTACACATTCAACTGCCCTGAACCATTTCCACCGAACATTGGCATTGTGACCCCGCAGTAACAGCAGTGATTGTAAGCCCTGAACTTTGCACAGACATGAGAAAAAGTGGCAAAACACCTGGATTTATTTTTATTTTTTAAAACAAAACACCAGGACTGATAAATTCCACCATTGAGTTCGATGATTTTCCCAGCGATAAACTATCCACTAAAATAGCTTTCCAGATTTTCCCATCTAGAAACTCCAGTTTTTATAGATTTTCCAGCCATGTTTGATGAGGGTGGATCTGCCATGGTGGCAGGATCTGAAACGGCACCTTCTTGAGATCCGCGCCGGGATTCACGATGAGAAGATCCTGAAGCCTTGCAAGGCCCATAGCGATGAGCAAATCATCGAACGCTACAAGTTTCTCGGTGGGATTTAGCGGAATTTAATGGGATTTAGTCGGATTTGATGGGATTTCGTAGATATCTAATGGAGATAATGCACCAACCATTTAATGAGCTTTCAAAGGATTGGTTTGGTTGGGAAAATCTTGACCGGAAAGCATGTGTTATTTTTGCACCAAATATAGAAATTTGCAAATTTGAGCAATGTGGTAAACCCTATGCCAGAAACAACTATCTACCATTTGAGGATGGTTTACCACTCATTTATTGTGAAATTGGGCACGGCTTATGAATGGGTTTACCGCATTATGCCTCCAGTACCCCCCAAATTCCGGGGAAAATAATGATAACATATGATAATTGTAATCCATTGGCCAATTTGCAGACAAATCCAACTGTGCAAGGAGACGAGAGGGTGGTGTTTTCAGGATCCCAAAAAGAGAGGCGTTGGGACCTGATGTGACTGCGATTGTTGAGATGTGAGGTTCGTTGTGGCTATGACAGGGCAAGGCCCTATTGGCAAACTGTCAGGCGCATTCAGACTGTTTGTGGTCTGGATAAGGGACAGTTTGCCCAGTCCTGTTTTCGTAGACTTGCAGCCGTTCGGCATCATGTTTGGATGTTTGGCCTTGAGGATATTCAGGATATTCAACTATCGTGCTCCGGATCGGCTCAAGATCAAAGCCCAATGTGGGTGTCAGGGCATGACTTGCTGGAAAACCACCAACTGTTGTCATGTTTGGAGTTCCAGGTCTTCAATCTTGATCTTTATTTTCATCCCCATTCGAATTGATGAATCTCCCGATTGTTGCTGGCTTAGCGGCTAAGTCCCAGAATTCGAGCTGATCAAACCTCCGTGGTGCGGAGGCAAGTGGTTCAATGCCATTGATGAGCGTGGTCTTCCTGCCCACTGTGTGGCTGATCATTGGAATGATTGGAATGCGTCCTACAGCACGCACACCAAGGCCTAGAAAATGGCACAAAGCCTCATAAAGCCTGGGCCGTTTAATTGGGGATATTAATTGGGGATATATGTATATATATTTAAATAGGGTATTATCACTACTTGATGGGTACCCTCTAATAATCAACTAGGGTGCATGAATCCAGGGTTCTCCGACAGCATGTTCACTTGAATCGATGTCTGTCATGGGCCCGTTAGACGTGGCCCAAATCAAGCAAGAAATACGGATTGACACAACTTCTGTTGATCTCCAACTAGACATCATATAACGCTCATTTTTCACGCAGATCTGCTGTGGTAGTTTCTGATTTACGGGCGAAATCAGGATGGTCATCCGCAGGACGATATCCAGCAGGCCCATGCAGTAGTGCAGCAGAAGGACGATCGTCGGAAGCGTATGATGACCAAGGCACCTTGGACCTGGAGGGTCCCAGATCATCTACAGATCTATGGCCAGAAACCTGCTGAAATTTGAAGGAATGTACATACTGTACTAAACATTACTAAACTACTAAACATGACCAAATTTGTGGTATCTCAGTTTGAAGCCATATCCAGCTTTTGATCTAGGTGTAGTTGAAATGGTGGGGAAGCACGATCCAGCTAAAGCCCGGACAACTGACTCAAAAGTCACCTTTTTTTTGCATGTCTGGGTGGGCCAGTTGAAACTTGTGACCATTGGTCACAAGATGAGACCATTGGTCACAAGATGAGACCATTGGTCACAAGATGAGACCATTGGTCACAAGATGAACGCCCGTGCAACTGCTGACCTAGAAATCGGGATCTGGATTTGAAATGTTTGGACCCTCCAACCGACACATGTTGGCCCCGAATCCGTCTAAGCTGATGGATGGTCTGCAACTGGGTGATTAGCCAAGGACAACAAGGTCAACAGCGAAGCCTATGTGAATCCTACCCAGGCCTGGCTTGATTGTAGGTTGGTGAGTAGAGGGAATGTGGCAAACATGTAGTGGTCACCAAGTGAAATGATTCCCCTATTGCCAAGTAGGGAATTGTCCATTCCTACCACTGCGCACTGAGATGGGAACTTGTGAGGCTACAAGTGCAAGACTAGTTCAAAGCACCTGAGATTGTGAAGAGCATAGATTTTATCTAAGAGCTGTTGAGAAAGGATGTGGCAGTTTTTCTGGCTCCGCTAGGCCATTGCCAACATGAACGACCGCCTGCGAGAAAGAAAGATTGACTTCCAAGACTTGAAGGTGCGGCTATCAGCGGATCTCTATTTTTCAATGAATGCAATCTTTGTCTTTCACCGCAAACAGATTTGGGGTTGACTATAGACTGGGATTTCTTTTCAAATTCTCGAACATGAATTTCGATGTATTTGTAAAGATATGTCATATCAATGTGAGCACTCAGTGATTCAAAACAGGGGCATCATGGGGGTTTGTTGCTGCGATAGAAGTAGCTTACTCCGTGGCAACAGCATGCACAGAATGATAGAAAGTCCATACTGACGGCATAAGGGGCAGTCAAAGTCATAGAAACTGCACAGCAACCAACTTCGATGGCTGCAGCTATCATGGTAGTCACTCTGATAGTCAAAACATCTGAATCCACTGGCCGCATTTTAGCAGCTGCACTGCTTGCAGGTCCAGTTCAAAAGGGAACTGAAAGTGGAATTCCCACAAGCCTCAGAAGAGCGTCTTCAAGCAATGGCCCAGCGGCTGCCTGGTTGAACGGGTTCCCGCATGGCTCTTTCCTTCCAAGCGGCATGTTGGGACAGCCCAGGTTGCTGAACGAGAAGCTGCTTGCCGATGAGAAGATGGCGAGGTTTCCTGTGCAGCATGAAAGTTTCCGGCCAAATCTCTCATTGACAACCCAGGACACTGCGGTTGCTGGACATCCGGCCGGGTTTGGGAGCGGATAGAGTGTTTCTTCAAAGCCAACTTCAAGTGCTTGATTTCGGTAAAACCGGTAACCGGACATTAATTTTACACTGTATAGTTTCGTGCAATGCATGTGAATTCTCATGTATTTGAAAGCACACATGCACCGTGGTTTGGTACATATGTGTCCAACATCTCTGACTATGTCACTATGTGATTGGGTGCTTTCTCTGCAACTGCCGCAACTGCCAGGACCGAAGATACAAGGAGTTTTATCATCCTGGCACATTTGTCTGGCACGAAGCGGAAAAGCGTGAGGCCCTGAATATTTCTGCCTTTCCCCAGGAACCTCAAGAAGGTTCAATGTTGGGGCAAAGTTGGACATATCCTAGCTACGCGGTCTTGGCTGGAACATGTTTAATCCATCCCTACTAGTTCTGCTGGCATCCCGGTCGATTGCAAAGCAGAGTGAACAGGCGCCCATTCCCACCGGGTCCCAGGGGATCCCCCTGCGCAGGCCTGGACGTGTTGCATGAACTTCGGACATGAGAGCCGTGGCTGCGAGTTCAAGGTGGTGAATCCGGACACCTGGTGCTATCAAGGCTTTGAGCGCGCATAGGCGCAGATGTAGCGAATGTAGATCAGCAGGTCGTGTTTTGTGCCCAAGGGTCAGGAGGTTTCATGTAATACCTAGCTATCTTTACCCTTGCCACCACAGTATGAGGTTGTTATGATCTGGTAGGTTTAACACTTCACAGGTTTTTGGATCCAGTTTTTTTCCGGATGGCCACGGACCGCAAAAAACGACTGGCTGCACCTGCATGCTGAATGCTGGCAGCAGGAAGGTCTCACACCAAGGTTTCACGCCCTGGCACTCCGAGCAATTCATGCGGCCTTGGGGTAAAAGTTAGGGGTCGATGAAACTTTCCATCATTTCCGAACACTTGCTCCCCAGAACTGGTTCCATTGACACATTGCAGGTAATGCACTTCAACATTTGGATGGCAAAAGGCCATTCTGGGCCTTAAACATTGGACTGCAAACACATTTTGGTGAGTTTCTCAAAAAAAAAACGAAAGTCATCCCATCCATAATCAGAATAAAATAACCCATCCATACATTTCTGAAAATCATCCCATCCAACAAGAATAATATAACCATTCCCCCTGGAAGCCTGGAACCCTGGAACCAAGGCCTGACAACTTGGAGCTGGAGTGATGAGACCAATCCCTTTGTGGCGCCGCCGTTTGGCGGATGTCATCAGATATCACTTGGGATTTGGGGAACCAATGATTTTATGGCATTTTATGGGATTATACTAGGGGAACCAACCCTTAAGATGACATTTCAAAGTCTTGAGTAGTGTTCAAAAGCCCTGGTTAATTTGATGATTATAGGGGGTTAAACTATCCAGTAATCCAGTATATTGGGGGTTATCATAATCCATGATGGGAATTCCAGCCAGTACAAATGAATGACGTTTTGAAAATGCTGAAATGGGTTTGTCCATAAAGGGGGATGGCATATTTAAGCGCCAAACAGTGTGATTTACCAAGCAGCACTGGGGATTTAATCTCAATTAAATCAGGTTTTTTGGCACTTGGATTTCTTCAGAATGGGGAATTTATATACCTCCAAGTTATGAGAGTCTCAATGCTGAAAATGATGATCTTCACCATGGGTCCCATTGGGATATCGGTGTTGAGGAGAATGCAGAATTTTATGGGTCACAAATTTCAAGACCCAGCAAACTACCACAAGTTGGGGATAATTTTGGTCGTCATATTTTGGGAGTCATGAATTCACTCATGCAAGTTCGCACATTGGCATCTTATTTATGCGGAGTTTTAAGCAACGAAAATCATGGGCGGTTTGAATCAGCAAAAGATCTGTTGGGAGGTTTTCAACAGACGGAAATGATGGGTATGGATCAAATTTCTATGGCTTTCCTAGCCGGTTGGTCCCCGCAGAAATTGTATGGTTTTATGCAAAAAAACACGACCAACTTGGGGGATGTTTTTCTCCCACTCACCACAAAGGCAGTGCCCTCATGAACTTCTCGTTCAGGAGCAGGGCGATGGTTTCTGGAGTGATTGAATTTCCAATGTTCTTTAGTGAGAAAAATTGACGGTTGGCAATGAGACCATCTTCAATGGTTTTTGGTGGAAATCCAATTTGGCTTTGATCAGCATCCAGGAGTTTGGCCAGCGGCATCCAGCGCGTCGCAGTCAGGGCAGCCCGACTCTTCCCGTGTGTTTGCGTGTGTGAAAAAGCGGGAACCAGCAAATATATTGTTAGGATCCAACCAGGAAAAATCGGAGATTTAGCCAATTTTTGAAGGCAGCACTTGGGTTTTGTCCAAGAATGAGGGATTCAGCCCCAAGTCATGAGGGATGTATTCAACCAAAACCCAGAACCAGGGGAAAGCATAGGAAGGTTCCGGAAGTTGTAGGGCCCATCACTGAAAGTGGCCAGACTATGCCAAAACGGAAGGGCGGGGAGTTTAGACAACAAAGAAGTTGGTTTCCGGACTCTTTCGGCCAATTTATTCAATGATCCTTCGTATGCATGCCCAGCACAGGCAAGAAGCCGAAAAACTCAATGGATGAGCTGATGAGCACGAACACTAATTGACATTTCTACCATCTACCCCCTGCAATCCACCTGCCCAAGTTCTTGGTATGGCTGCTACTGACCCGACCCTGAGATTTTGATTCTGGTTCAAGCACGGGTTCCGAGGTCGCTCGCGGCTCACAGTGTCAAGTTTGACGTTACCCTCCCAGGTGGGATGGGGTGATTATGAAATGGCGCTAAATGAAAGGCTGACTTCGTTTGTTGGTTTCGGGTGCGGCATTTGGCCTCGATTTGTTACGAGATACTCTTGACCCTCTGGTGATCAAACGTGGCAACGGAGAATCCCCCCATTTTATGATGGTTTTCCCATTAAAAGCTCCATTTCTAGGGTATTTTCCAGCCACCTTCGGTGACACCGTTTGGCGCGGCAGGAGAGTTTCATCCTCCAAGATCCTGACGACGAGGAGGTCATCGAAGCCCTGGCAGAAGAACCCTTCGTGGATGACTACCTGGACTGCCCGGCGGAAACGGTCTCCGCAACGCGGCAGAGTTGTTTTAATGGGGAGTGCTAGGTCATCTAGGTCCTAGGAGTTCATGGGAAAAGTGATGGAAATCTGGAAATCTGACATTCCCTATAGTGACCTTCGTATTTGAGATTGATTGGTGACTGGGGGCCTGGAATTTTTGCAGAGAGCAACACTTTTTCTGTCCACAGGCTGTTGAAGCCAACTGAGTTATGGGGCGGGTGCGCGTCCGAGTCTCCATGGCCCATAGGAGCGGATCTTTCCCACGAACTACAGCCTCTGTCGGATCCCAAGATACGATCGTAGGGCCAGACCTCAGATTTTTCATAGGAGATAGCACACTATGTATATGTATATATGTATATATATATATATACATAATATGATGCGATGATGAAATGTTGGAGAGATGCAGCTCAGGTACTCATTCTCCAGTCAACTCCAAGATTCTACCTATACCGCAGGCCATCCGTGATGAGCAGGTATGCTTGCTGAGCTGCAGCGTCCTTTAGATGGTTTGTTCGATGCAGAGTGAGAGGGGATGGCATGCTCTCCCATGCATATCATCTCAACCAGAAGCATCAGATCATGATCACGATCAGGATGATCATGATGACCATCACCATCACCATCATTTTCATCCACGGCCAAGAATTGGAGAACACCAGAGCACTCACCATCACCAAGCATTCACCGTACGGCCAGGGATCTAGGGTCTCTTCTGCTCACACGGTGGCATCTTCAAGATATCAAGGTCAGGGACAGGGGATGGGGCCCCACACGGCGATCTCCACCCTGCGCCGCATGGCTCACGTGGAATCTATATTTGGGTGTAAAGACAATGGTTTCTATGGGTTTTCCACTAAACACTAAACCAATCCATTGAATCATCCTAGGCCTGGCATTTTCTTAGCTTTTTCACCAGCTTTTTTCTTAGCTGTTGCCTGCAGCCTTGGAGGTGGCGATCTGAAGGCTCAGTTCAAAGGCCTTGGCGCGCAGAATGTCAGATTGGATTATCACCTCTGCGATGCTCGAAGTGTCACCAGATATGGTGAGGTTCCCTCACTTGTCATTTCACCAGGAAAGAGACAAAGGCTTTTGGAGAGGCCATGACTTGTGGCGTGTGCATTCCATTCACTGGGATTCTGCCGGCGGACTGTGTGTTTGTTTGTGTTTGTTTGAGTATGAGTCAAGACATATGGCACTTATGGCACCACCTGTGGCAAGATTAACATCCTTTTTTTACCAGCTTTATTTGGGACTAAATCCAGTGGTACCAGGGTTTTCACCCACAGCCACAATGTGGGATGGGTCAAGCGTCAGTTTTTTTTTTGATCCCAGTTTTGACCGCCCATTCCAATTTGTTTGAGGAAGGGGATCCCCCATTTCCTTGGGCCAGGTTCAGCACAACCAAGCGAGCATTCGATGCTGGGAGCCCAACCTTCATCCCTGCCCTTGGGAGGTCTCGGTTGATGGCGATTGGTATTGGCTGTCCACGAAAAACTTGGGAGATTTAGAGTTGGCCAGCTTGGGACCTTAGCCACCATCAGAAGGACATTCTCTTTGCCGCAAAAAATCTCAAGTTGCCAAAAACATGTTTCACCCTGGATTGTCAAAATCCGGACCCCATTTCAGGATGATTTTTCATTATTGAAATGACATTTTTTGGGATTTCCGGATTTCCCATGTTCGAGCAGCGGCGCCGAGGAGTTTCTTCGAACGATCCGGGAGCTGAAAAAGCTTCGATGCTGTCGATGGCTGAGATCACGCTTGGGGGAGGTAACAAAACCACTATGATCTGGTAAGGTGTAAAAGGAACACAATAGGTAACAATAGTAGTTAGCAATAGTAGGATCTATTGGGCTGTGAAGGTAACAAACAATAGGTAACTTTTATCTTGATGATGGGCTGTTGATCCACAAAAACCATTTCTTTGGGTAAATGACGTCCCTACAATAAAAAGGGCAACCTTGGACTTTGATAACCAAATCAGTCTTGCAAAACGACAAAGAAGCTTTGTTATTTAACATATTATTTCTATTTGTTTGATGCACACGTATTAAAACTGTAGTGCACTTGTTTGATTAGGCAACTAGGCACTCCGTTTTGCATCTTTGCATCGATTTCTCCCAGGGGGTGGCAACATGGAGGACGTGGAGCTCCCACGCACCAAGTGACTTGCCACAGATAAATTTCGTCGTTCCTGGTGCAGATGGGACATGCCCAACACAGCTCAGAATGGCATGCCACGCAGTCTGGGTCAAACCATACCAAAGCATCAAGTGTCATGTGTTGATTATATTAGTTAAGAATGGATGGTTTGAAGAACCAAAGATAGGTGTAATTACTTCAGGTTGGGACGGCTAAAAGCAAACAAGAAACACGGACCAATCCATCTCTCCAGGTTTTGCGACTTCCTAGCCCAGCATTTTGCTGACATGCCTTCTGAGGCGGCAGGGAAGATGAGGTTTTGAAGATTCGAAACTGTGGGATTTTGATGGATTTTGGGGTGCCAAATTTCGATTTGTGGGGATCCACATTGATATTTTGAGAAAAAAATGCAACATGGAGCATCTCCGAAAGCTTTGGCAGCCGTTTAGGGTTTAGGGAGATCCCTGGATTCCTAAAGCCCGAAATAGCCCTGCGGCCGTTGCCGGCTGGTGAGGGGCCAAAATGAAGTTCGGCATGGCATGCCTTCGTTGGTTTCTGCTGCTGGCCGTGGGTCAATCTGCACCTGTTCTGAAGAAGGTGATTTCGATGCTGCAAAGCATGAAGGAAACAGGCGGGCTAAGCCTTTGGATTTTTATCAGGGATCAGCATTTGTTCAACATTTGCTGAAGAGACCTAGACTTGGCATGCCTTAGCAGCTGAACTCTGATCATTCTCCACATCTTAGCCTACACTGCCTACACCTTCCATTCTTGCACTGCTTTCAAACTGGCACCCTCCCCCAGCCACAGCTTCCAGGTGAGAAGGAAATGCACGAGGAAGAAGTTCAATATGCAGCCTTCTCTTCCTGGTGCCTCAAAACACTCCGCAGAAACTGCGAGAAACCATGGTAAAAACTAGGGGATTTACGCATATTTGGGACCATCAACCGTGGGGAGATGTTTAACATGCACCGGTGGAACAACGACCCAGGTGCGACGGGGAGATCGCCACCAAGACCCGAGAGGTGGGCGAAAGTGGCGACGAGATCCAGCTGCTCCAGGCATCCATCGAGAGCGGTGAGGCTGCGGTGGCCGCGCACAAGGAGAAGCTGCAGGGCGTGTTGGCTGAGATGGCCAAGTGGTCCGCGCAGAAGGAGATGCTTGGAGAAACAACACATAGCGAGAAATTGTGGAAATTGTGGAAGTTGAGTTGAGTTTTTTTTTGGATGAACTATTTTTGGGGGAAAATCATGTTTGATGGGTAGACCATTTTATCGATTTTGGCTTTTCGATGGCTAGTTTTCAATGCAACGCGTGTGGAAGGTTCCTTTGTTAGCAGGTGTGAGATCGCTGCCGAGGAACGCAACCATGGTGAGGACCAAGGAAACGACCATGTACAAGGAGACGCATCAGGATTACACTGAATCAATTCAGGCCATCATGAAGGCATCCCGTAGTTTGAAGGCACATCGGCAGGCGGAGGCGGTGAGTCTTCTGACAAAGTTGCCCCCTGCCGCGATCTCCCATTTGCTCTGAGGAACGTTTTGCGCTTTTTAAATGCAGTATGCTCTTCGATTGGTCCCTGCACGTTTTTTGGAGGATGCTCAATCGCCACGACTTGGCCTTTCTGCAGTACACATAATATCAACCACCTACACTCTGTATGTGGGTGTGTCTGAAGATTTAGGGGAAAATCCCCCAAATCCCCTGGCTTCATCATCATTTTATGGGATTCTGCCCTAAATTCTTTGGAAGATTTCCATCACTTCATGTTTTTTTTCCCCATGGATGGTTCGTTTCCCCATTTTCAATGGCCCATTGGGACGGCTGTCCCCGTCCTAAGGCGACCCGGAAGGTGGCTGCCTTCCTGGCGCTGCACCACGGGACGGGAGCGCCGGAGTTGGACGCGCTGGACTTCTCAAGCGATCGCCCCTTTGGGGCAGAAAAAAAGGGGTTGGGAATTGGGTGACAGGGAGGATTTGGGACTTGGGACTGTCATTGGTTTATTTTCAGTTGTTGAGTTTTTTTTCTCCCGATTTTTTGGAGACTTCCAAAAATGGCTCAAGAGATGAGGATTGTTTGATACCTCAGTTGGAAAATGACAGACATTTTGGGTTCCCAGCTTTTTGAGAAGCCTGGAGACGAGCCGCTCGCTGGTGCTCAGGGATTGAAGACATGTTGAACGAGCTTCGAGACAAGTTCACTGATGAGCGCAGTAAACTCGAGAAGGAGGAGATGACCCTGCACCATGCGCATCAGAGCCTGATGCAGGAGCATCTTGGTGAAACCCACAAATTTGAAAAAACACATAAAATCACGCTTTTGTTGAGTTCAGAAATCCAGACGACAACTCTCTTGAGTCCCAATGAAATGAAGGAGATGGACTACTGGGTGTTCCAGCCTGGTGTGTAATCTATTGTTCTTGTTGGCGAAGGAGTTCTGTCATATTCAACTATTGTTATTTGTGACATTCCCAATGTTTGTAGTACCAGGATTGTGGGTGATATGGGGATGAGGTTCAGAACTCAACATGACCAACATTTCTGGTTGCCAGGACCTTGAAATTTAACCAACACCCGTGGCCATATTGGGGGATTAATTAATCACCATGTCAGGGCAAACCCATATCATCCACAGCATTTCACTAAATTGGTCGGTTCCCCCAGTATCATCCAAATTAATCCAAATTAGATATATCTTTGAATTCCCACAAAGATACTAAATAATCCATTAAGTACCAATAACAATCCCATTGAATACCACACAAACTTCCCATTAACTCCAATGAAATACCACTGAAGATTCCCTTGAACCCCATCATTTTCCAGAAAATCCCATGAAAAATCCCAGGTAATCCCTGGTAATCCCATGAAAAATCTCATGAACTTCCAGAAAATCCCCATGAAAACTCTGATCTGCCTCAGGTTGACCACCATGATGAGCCAGGCCGAGGCTGAGCAGTCAGACCTGACCCAGCGCGAGGCCTCGGAGCGGCAAGGCCTGGGCGCCAACCGCGCGAACCTGGCGGATGCCGAGGCCTCGGAGAAGGAGATGAAGACCTACCTGGAGCAGGCGGGGATGGCAACCTGAAAAATTGTGACTGCAATGACTTGGGGATGGTTTCTTGATGTTGATGTTTATGATGTTTATGATGTTTAATGTTGGGTGAATCAAAAATACTACTGGTAGCGTGGATATTAAGGGAATCTGAGAACTTAGTTGGATCTAACCAACAAGGGAGATTTCACCCACGATTTTCAGGGGAATATAGCGGGAATATCATGGGATATAATGGCTGGGGTGGATGATTTTTGGAGAACTTGTGTAGAGATGTATAGTATGGAAGTGTTTCAGTGATTCAAAGAACCTGAACATTTCTTTATAGTTCAAAGTATTGAGGTATGAAGTTGAACTATACTTGGGTTAAAGAATGGGGTATACTGATTTTCCTCTGGTCAATCATCATCTTCCGCATGAAACATATAGTCTTTTTGTGTTTTTTTTGGGTATTACCCATGTTCAGACACACCCACATGGAGGGAAATCACTTTTCAAGAGCCTGAGTACGATGATATACCTGATCTATACTTGGGGTGTCACTTTCAAAGTGCCTTTGGATTTGGACATGCAGTCAGGGTATCGAAAAACTTGATATTCGGATATATCCTTTGAAAGTGACTTACTGTGGTAAACCCAATAATCAAACATCCCGAAATCACCGATTAAATGGGTGGTAGTTTCCCATCCCTAATGGTGGGTTTATGGCATTGGGTTTCCCACATTTGACATCTTTGGATATACCTCCACTGGCCGCAGGTGACACAGAACTGTGCCAAGAAGGCGAAGGATTTCAAGGCTCCGGGGGAAAACGGCCTCTGGGTGGAGGTGGGACGTTCTGACATGGTTTCTCTATGTGTTTCTTGGATGATTTTGTAGCCCATCCCCAACAAGATTGAAACATTAATATATATATATATAATTATATATAATCATCAAATTCGTAGGGATTTACCTTCGTTTTTTTGAGGTTGCTTTACTAGTTATACCACAGTTTTGTTGGCTTATACACTCTTTATTGTTGGATTTTTTCCACATTCTTGTGGATTGCAGATTCAGATTTTTCCTCCTATTGACCATATTCTGTGCTTCCACTTCAACAGCTCACTCCTGGGTCAACCCATTTGTGGATCCATTTTGGTGAGGAGCACAGAAGGACAGTCTCAACATGCCAAAAAGTTGGCCTAAGAGAGAATCTACACAAACCCATATATATATAATAATTATACATATATATATAATTATATATCTATATATAATTATATATATATAATTATATATATATAATTATATATCTATATATAATTATATATATATATACACATACACATATACACATATATAAATGTATACATATATGGATGCTACACATAAATTATCATTTCCAGGAATGCCAACCCCGGATAACAATCCCCTGGGCTGTTTCAGTGAAGGGTACCATATTGTGGTGAAATCCCTGCTTTTCCGAGCCTTGAATCTCCAATGGTCGTTCGGCCAAATCCCCATTCAACCAACCATTAGTTAGTCATTTTATCAACCAACCATAATCATGATTTGTTAAGTTAATTACATCCCATTGATTGAACCCAATTTTCAACCCCTAGTGGGCTGGTTAAAATCATTTCAACCCCCCATGGATATCCATCAATTATATCTCGGAAAGTCTTGGAATATCTCATTAGGTCATTATTCATTCATTGCTTAAACACCCATTCAAATTCCGTAAATTCCTCAACTCATGCCTCAAAATTGGTGAAATCAGACTTGTGTTTTTTTTTTTAAATGCCCATTCAAGGCCATGAAATCCCTTCATTGACCCATGGGGCATCCACCAATGGCCGCAGGAGCGCAGCAAGCTGCGTGCGGGTGAGCTCAGCGCCATCGACAAAGCCGTGGACCTCTTGTCCTCGGAGGAGGTGGGGCGCACCCAAGGACCGATGTCCGCGGGGGCCACTGGGGGACGGTGAGCAAAAAATCCTATGAAACCTATGAATATGGCGGTTTCATTGGATTTAGCCGGTGAAAACGGAGGTTTAATGTGCTTTAATGATTTTAATGTGATTTAACTAAGGAGTAATTACAAATGGCAACCTGGTAACAAAAGATGTTTTTTTTTGGACTGTTTTTATGGGCGAATGGAGCAGATGATGTGGGGGTTGAAGCTGATGACATAGGGAATCTCTGTGCCTGATGCGCTGCCCTAATTCTTGCAGGACGTCTGTCCTTGCGCCAGGGCACAGCATTGGTCTCCCTCCGATTGCCAGATGCTCAACCAGCTCTCCGTGCGGCGGAATATTTGCAGAACCAGGCCGTGAAATTCAACAGCCGTGTGCTGTTTTCTATGGCCACCAGGTTGAGTAGCAACGCAGACCCCATGGCCAGTGTGCGAACGATGTTGAATAACCTCATCACCACCTTGGAAAAGGAGTCTAGTGAGGTGCCATGGTGGGTTGCTGGGTGAGTACATGAGTCGTTCAACCCAAGAAGTTGAGTCTTCGCATGTTCTAACCGGAGGGGGGAACCCCACTCATGAAACTTGGAAAACTGGAAGTTGGCCTCTCTTTCGTCATTTTTGATTCCCCTTGAGGAGATGGAGCATCGAGACTGGTGTGAGAATGAGATGTCTGCAAACGAGAAGGCTCGCGAGGATCGCACCTCCAGTGTGGAGACCCTCAAGACGCAGGTCCGCCCAGTTTCATCTCTTTTATATTCTTTTATCAGATTTGATCATGGTCCAAGAATCCAAGCACTTCCAGCTCAAGACTCCAAAGCTTTCGGACCTCATTCTGCTCTGTTTTTCAGGGGGTTTTGAAGATCGGATGTGAAACCAGGGGGTCTCAAGAGCAACCAGCTGCTCCCACCATCCCATGGAAGGTGGACTCAGCTGAGAGCCTGGTGGCCAAGCTGGGCGCGGAGATCACGGAACTGGAAAGCCAACTATCTGAGAACCAGGAGAGACTCAGGGGGAGACGGGTAAGGGATCTCTAAATTTCCAAGGATTTCCAAGGGATTTTCCAAACATTTCCAGAGAGTTCTGATTCTATTCAATTATAGGTTCAAACATCACATTTGTGTTCTGTTAATATCCCCTGGAAACATTTCAAACTATTCTGATTAGATACTGGTTAACACCCCCTGGCCCAGAAAAACCGGCCACAGGAGAGTTTGGCCAACCAGACCGAGGCGCGCAAGTTGGAGAAGAGCGAGAACGAGAAGACCGTTGCAGATGCCAAATCTGCCGAGGAAGCCGTAGCCAAGGCTATTGAGGTCGGGGGCTCAAAGGTATGATGGCTTTTCACAGTTGGAAAATATGGCGGGGGGGGTTTAAAAAGGTTGGGGTCTTTTCTAACCCCAAAGTTGCATGGTTTAACCAACAACCACTGGGGTTGACATCAATTTGATTGTTCTGAAATTTAACATCGCACCAGCAAAAAGGTGGCTAACCACCAAGAGACATGGAAAGAAAAAGGAATCTCATAACATGAGGAGGTTTGCTTAAATATTGCCAGTCACTTTGGGACGTAGGGGCCTTTGCTCATGTCTCTATTCTGAGGTGCTGCGAAACTTCTATGCCAGCTCTTTTGTTCAGACTGCTGCAACGACCTCGCGCCTTTCAGCGGCTCCAAAGATTTTCGATGGAGCCTATAGCCCTTCCGGTGGCGATGCCATCATTGCGATGTTGGAAGTGGTCCAGTCGGATTATTCCAAGCTGGAAACCACCACGGCCTCACAGGAGATGTCGGCGCAGAAGGACTTTGACAACTTGAAGTCGGAAATGGCAATCTTGAAGGTCCAGCAAGAGAAGGATGTGGAACACAAGAAAGTACAGAAGGGAGAGAAGGAGCAGGAGATTGTGGGCAAACATGCAGATCTGCAAAATGCCGACAAGGAGCTTCTAGAAAATGACTCGAGCAGCTTTTGAAGGATTATTCTTTGGATTCCAAGCTCTAAGCCTTGGTTAGTCACAATGTCAACCCTGCACCTTACTGGGAACTGGGCAATTCCCCCAATTCTTTGCAATGGACTGCAAGCTGTCATCCACAACACCAGGGAGGAGCACTGCCTGGTGTATGGGTCATTCCTGTGTCAACCGAAATTTCACCGGAGTCCCTTATACAATGGGGCTAAAAATCATTTCCCAAACATAAATACCGCAGAGTCGCAGTAGAGGTGAAATCGCGTTTGTCTGATTTTTTTTCTTCGTTTTGGAAGTCATGGGAAAACCAATTCATTTGTTAGATTAAAACCAATTTTCCATGAGTTTCCGCGATTTCCAGCTCCAGAAAAACATCCCAATTTTTTTTTCATTTTTCCCCCATTTTTTCCAAGCATTTTCCAAGGTTGACCGCAGCCATGGAGTACTACGAGCAGCTGAAGGACAGCTGCCTCTCCACCGGCTCCACGGCCATGGAGCGTGCGGCGCGACGGACCGAGGAGATCCAGTCGCTGAAGGAAGCGATGGATCTCCTGGAGACGGGGACGCCATGACGACCTGCGAATGCGGAGGGTCAAAAAGGGGCTGGGATGGAAAGATTTTACCCTCTGGTAATTTAACATAACTATTGAAAATGACCATTTATAGTGGATTTTCCCATTAAACATGGCGATTTTCCATAGTTATGTTAGTTTACCAGAGGGTAAAGGTAGTTGGAGGACTAAGATTTTTGAGGTTTTGAGGATAGGGATGATGGGCGACTTGGAGATTTTGACATGCCAAAAAACATCTGGGTCAAATGATTTGGGCAAGGCATCCAGATTTTTGTCAGGAACACGAGATCATCTTTAGTTTCTTTGACACTGATGGGTGCCGTGCTCAGCGGGGGATGGCAGGAAAGGCTCGGGGGTTCATATCCTCTCTGTAGGGGTTTATAGACCCTGATGCCTGCTTGGATGAGGGTTGTAAAATCCCATTTTGGGGATGTCAAACATAGACCCTTTAGATTTAGATGCTTATTGATAGCGATCCCTGAAATGGTTGGATGATCTTCACATCAGACATTCCACCAGCCAAGCTTCTCCGTGAACACCAGGAGTGGTTCCGTGTCCCTGACAGAGTTCTATGCAGTTGTAGAGGTGCCAGTGGGAGGGCATTTGGGGATGGGAGGGCATTTGGGGATGGGTCAACACCCATTGTTACCATATTTGGGAACCTGTAACCATTATTCAACAGCTATTTTTTGGAAACCTATCACCATATTATCACCATATTATCACCATATTATTACCATATTTGGGGGAATAAGCATCCATTCACCAGTTTTTAATGCGGGTACCATCCGGGAACCAGGGTGGATGTTTTAGCGAGGCCATGGCGCCAGTGCGGTGCCTGGCAGATCTACGCAGTAGGCGGAACCGATGGCCCGATGTGAAGCAAGGATGATTTGATGGTGAACATGTGGGTATGGGTCAATACCTATAGATACATTTTTAGTGGGATGAACATCCATTTACCAGCTATTTTGGGGTTCACTAGGTACCAGGGTTTTGACCCATAGCCATGTGAAAGATCTTCAAAATCCCTTGGTGAAAAAGGGGGGATGTCAACCTGACTGGTGAGGTGTGTCCACTTATCCATGATGGTTATTTGTAATGATCATTTAGGTGATATCAACTGGTTTAGTGAGGATCATGGACTGTTCGAATATGGGAACCCTGATCAAGAAGCTGTGGAAGGGAAGCACAAAGGAGACAGAGACTGGGGACTGCTCAATGTAGGTAAACTCCATGTATTCTTGTTTGAGCATCAACCGTCCAACCATCCCGTGTTGAAAGAACATGACCTCAGGGGTCCCACTCTTGATACACATTGTCACATTGCTTGAATGATACAGTACTGCACAAGAACCTCTAGATACTAAGCCCAATCCCTTATCTTCCCATCATATCAATATGAATATATATATATAGATATAGATATAATTGTATATATATATATAATTGTATATATATATATAATCATTATTATATATAATATGTACGTTTGAACATTTACATGAGCCCTGGATTGGCAGGTGGATCGCCCTTGGCTTCTCTCCTTGTCGGGCGATGGAGACGATGGCCGCTTCGTTTCAAATCCGCGATGGAAACTTCATGGGTTGGTCGTTTTCTGTTTCAAAAACATGGTATCCTCCAATATCCTCCAAAATTTGGATGTTTTTTTTTGGTATCCTCCAAAGATTCCTCCATTTTGATGTTTTGTTAGAGAATCATTTGAACTTTGATGGTTCGGCGATTGTTCATTTTATGATGGATTTAGACCTTCCTGCATAGAGGTTTGCATGCCATGGTGCTAGCGCGGATCTGATGATTCTTTCTTTGCTTCTTCAAACACTTTTGGGATCGTGTTTTATGATTGTATATGATTGTATGTAGTGCTCCTGGTTCGATCACCCTGGATCATTTGGGTTGGTAACACCCACTTTTTGTTCCTTAAATCAATTCAATCATATTCAATCCCTGTTTTTTTGGCTTAAACTCCCATCTTTTGTCGCTCCAGGCAGCACGGAATAGTTGGGCCACGAAACGCTACAGCTGTCAGCACTTTGGACAGCTTCTGTGGGGCATCTCAGTGAAACCAGGAGGATGATGACAAAAATCCTTTGAACAAGGGTGTAGCCTCTGGTAAACTAACATAGCGAACTGGAACATCACCATCATCACCATTTTTTTAATTTGTAAATCTTGGGTTAGCAATTGGGTTATCAATTGGGTTATCTCTACCATAGCTATGGCTATGTGGCTATGTTGACTGGAGGGTTTAGGTCTTTTGATGGTTTATCGGCACAATACAAACCATAAATGGGGATACAATTGGATATAACGCTATTCACATGACATGGGGTGTCTCTGAAAATAGGGAGGATTTAGGACAAGCATTGCAATTTATATAATTGGGAGCATGCTGATAAACTATGGGATTCTGGGTACCCTTTTTTTTCAGACACACCCATGTATGCATTGAACATATCTCACATGTACATCAAACTGGGCGGGTTTGGGCATCCAACTCCTGTTACTTGATCCAGCTTCGACTGTCAGGACGAAGGTTGGCGTTTGGGACTGGGAGGAGCATGTCTACATCTTCACAGCCGTGGCCACTCCGAATCTGGCTTCCACTGCGGGGGTCTCAACTGCTGGGGCGTGGAATGAAGGTCAGATAGCACTCAGGGAGATCTCAAAAAAGTCAGGTGCCATATCATACCCGTTAGATTTTTATAGATCGATGGAGAACGGAATTGTTTGATGATGCAGCTGCTGGTGAGAAGGGGTGACTGCCACAATTCAGCGGAGACATTGTGACAGTGACAGTTATTTACATGCACGAACTAGGGGATTTACCGTGAGCAGCATGCTGAAAAATGCCCGCCCATCAAAAGAAGGATTTTCATGTTTTTCTTTTTGAAAGGCCTTCCACTTCAGACATCATCTTTTTACAAGTAGAAAACATCCCACGACTTCCCCCTCTGCCACGCTGCAGATCTCTTTGGCCGAGATGCATGCAGCCTTGGCATCTGTGGCCTGGTATAAATCATCCGAAGCTACTTCAACTACTCAATCATCAGGATGCCCCAGGGTTGTTTTGCCTGGTTAAGAAGTCAAGATTATTATATATATATATATTATATATATAACTCCCTCTAAAGCCGATGGGTGTTAATTACAAAAAAACGACAGGTAGCAATCTTCAGGGCCTCTGGATGAAGCTTCTGGCGCAAGTTGTGAGGTGTCACCCGTGCTGCTGATTGAGGAGTGGCAGCACAAATTGGAAGCGTTTTTTGGCAGCATGGAGGTGGATATCATGCTGAGGCGATGGGGAGGCAACTGGGGGTATGATTTGACCATCAAAAATGGTGGATTTCAGCGATTTCCCCCCAAAAATATGAGAAAATCATGAACATGTTGGGAAATCACCATCAAAATTCGGGAGGTCATTCAAATTTTTGGAGAATTAGGCATGACATGATTTATTCCACCAAAAATGGGTATGCGGGGACGGGTCAAGCCACTAGGAGGGGTTTCCAGGTTCCAACTGGTGAATTTATCAGGCCAACTTATCGGCTCGTTGGGATCCATCAACTCCAACTTGTTGCAGGGTGTAACCAAGGGACGTCCCTGCACCTCCCCAACATGAACATGGCGATGTCATGGGTGATCCTGCCATTTTTTAGAAGCGAAGTGCTGGTTCCATTTGAGTTGTTGTTGGTGATTAACCACTATACATAGTTGGGTATTGAATCCATTAGATATTTTTCAATACTAGTTGCTGGACCTGACTTATCTTTTGCGACGTTGACGTTTTCTCTAAGGTCTTTTGGCAGCATGGATGCAGCTTATGACGCGCTTGAGGGTGACTTTAAGGCACAGCGAGGGAAGGGAGGGAAGGCCTTGTGTGCTGGGTGTTGGCAAACATAGATGGGTTCTATGACATTGGTGGATACAATGGATACAACCAGCCCATACCCAGGTTTTAACCAACAAAAGTGATCAAATATGGAGACACGACAAACAATGGGGATATCATTCATGGTTGCCTACCAAAAATGGTGTTTTTGCACAACAGAGACATATACATCATGAATCATGACAAACACGTATATTTTCTTCTGCTGCTCAATATTGGACACCTATCCTTTAAGAATTCCATGAAGAACTGATACTTGGCGGTCCATGTTTGCCACATCCAAGTCATTCATGGTCGATGCTATCCTGCAACGATGAACCCAGAGGCCGCTTGCACTGCCGTGCCAGTTGGAGCCTGCCATTGATGAAGAATGATAATGGCCGTGGATGAAAGATATATACTTACCCAACAATCCACACTGTTCACAGGACAATCAGCTATAAAAATGGATGGCATTCCAATATTTTCCAAGTGGCCATGCTTGATCACCAGAGGGAAAGGGGAAATTATTCATCACCCAGAAAGTGGATAGAATCATGATTCCCAATGATTCCAATCCCCATGTTTGGTGAAGTCCCCCATTGACCCACCATTTGTTGCGTCCATTCCATTCCAGGCGCCGCTGGATGTGAACAAGTTTGTTTTGAAGGCGGTCTGGTCGGTCGTTTTGGGGATCTTAAACCATCCATTTGTTTGGGCATATGTTTTTTGAGCCCATTCCCAGCTTGGGAACAAAGAGACTACAGATTTTGGTCCAGGTTCTGAAGCGATGAAGAATACACGGGGCTATTTGGTCATTTGGGTCCTAAACTATTTAACATTTACTGGTGAATGGATGTGAGCTACAGCCATTTGATGGCCTTTTTTTTGAATCTGTCATCATTCTAGCTCATTTCAAACGAAGATACATGAAGAACTTGCCAGGGTAATCTGGCAAAAGCACTTTTCATGGTGCTAGTCTCTTTCACCCAGGGTTTTTTTCATCCCAAGATATCCTTTTCGGGTCACGTTGGTCAAGTACCCCTGGTCTAGTCTTGGATCTCTTCATTTTAAGGTCCCAAAATCTGGGGGAAGGGAATTACTCTTAGTGAGATAGCACTAGTCTTATAATCTCGTTACATTTTGGTAATCTTGGTTCAATCCCACTTTTTGATGGGATACATAACCTTCTTTCATGGTTAAATCCCCATATCTGATGGTTTCATACCACTGTTGTAGGTAAATCATGCCCCCATCATGGTTAGCAATTTCCACCTCAACGCCGGGCCCCCTTTGAATCCACGCGATAAGAGGCGGGCGAGAGGTGGAACATGTCCTCGCACGAGGCAAAAAGGCGGGGCGGTTGCTGGGTTGCGGAGGAGGAACTGACCATGGTAGGTTTTTATACTAGTTATATGAACATACGTATTGATATATCTCAGGTATGATATAGTTATCATATCGTTACAACATGTATATGATATTATATGATCATGATCATGTCAAAAATGGCTATCTTCAACGGCTTTAAACAATGGCTACAACGAAACTACTAGTGGTTTGACATGGTGTCAAATTCTGAGCTGTGTCAGATGCAAGTCACATATTGAGTTGTAGGACCAGTCACCATGTGCATCCCATTGACAATCCATAAATGACCATAACTGGAGGATATTCCATATGTATATATATATATTCTATATATAGAGGTTTCCTGAAATGGGGGTACCCCTGAATCATCCATTTTAATAGGGTTTTCCATTATATATACCAACCATTTTGGGGTACCCCCATTTATAGAAACCTCCTTTAAAAAAAAGACTGGGGCACAAGGAGTTCTTATCCACTTCCTGGGATACATCCCCTGGGGATTGGACATTGAGGTTCTTCCGTCTGTGCGACTTTGATCTGAAAGAGAAACTCACGAGGTCCAGCTGCTGCCGGAAGCCGTCAAAGACGTGGTGTATTGACTCACGTTTCCGGCGGGGTGCACACAAAAAAACCACCGAACAAACTGGCACACACACACAAAACACGATCATAACCAGATATGACCAGTATATTTTTTTTTCTTGGTCAATTTGACATGGGATAAATGATCAGATCCAATTCTTAGGCACCAAAATTTGTCTCCAAACCATTAGTTGCAACATTTTCGAGAATATATCCATGACAAATCATAGAGATATGGGCATGTGTAACACAACCTATATTACCACAATTTACCCTCTGGTAAACTAACATAACTATGGAACATCACCTTTTTTCATGGGAAAACTCACTATAAATGGCCATTTCCAATAGCTATGTTAAATTACCAGAGGGTACAACGCTGAAGTCTGGCAACGAAGTGCACACGTTCCAATGTCCAAACTTCTTGAACGAAAACAGCTGTTGCTTTTGGGAAAGATTCTGCGTTGCCACCCGAACCACCCTCTGAGACAAGTCTCGTTTGAACCTGGCACATACACTGCTGCTACATCTCGATATCTGAGAAGGGTAGGCCGGCCTCGTAAAGAGTGGATACCTGAAGTTTTTTCTTTAGCACTTTCCTTTACAGGTAGTACTCGCAATCTGTTATTTTTTGTCCAGAATGAAAAGCAATGGCGCCAACTGGTTTTGAACCAATGAATCGATTGGGGCCAGTCAGGCTGCCTTGTAGCACAATGCCTTTAAGTTTTTAGTCTGCATGTTGTGTGCATATGTATGGAGTTGGAGCCGCCCACGCGCCGCGCGGCGCACGGCTTGACAGACAGACAGACCACATGATTTTGGAATCATCCATCCCAGCGATGAAGCAGGAGCAAGTTCCACTGGGTCCTGGACCTGGTGCGGCCATCCTTACGAATGGAACAGATCAGGAGCTCCCAGGGTTTGGGATTCGGCCACCCAAACCTGCGATGGTCGTTGGGCAGAAAGGCTTCCCCCGACTTTTCGAAGCCTGAAGACTTGGAAAAGAGCACTCTTCCAACAACAGCAGCAGCAACAACAACAGCACATGACAAAAACAGCTTGCTTTTCGGTATGTTGTACCAACTTGTCTACATTCAGTCTCAATTGCAATTCGCTGTTCATGTCCCTGGTTGATGGCCTAAAGCGGTGCATTTCTAATTTGAGACATTGTCAGGAGAAGGAACAAGCAGCACCACATGGGTTTGCCTGAATATAGGGTACCCCCAACATTCCATGCTTTATCATCATTTTCCCTGTTAAAAAGGCGATGTTTGAGCATCCCCCGTTTTTTTGACCCATATGTTGACGATTATGTCATGACACCCTTGTCACAGCTCACCACCAATGGACACCTCATGCAGTTTGGAGGAAGAAGTTGCGGAGCTACTACAGCAAGTTGTTGGGAAAGATTCGATCCGTGAACCGACAGGCATGGTGTTCAAGACCGGGTTGGTTTGATGGGGGATTGATCCCCCAAATTTTCAGTTTTCATGGCGACAATGGTCATCCAGTGGATTCAGAGGGTCTCCAATCAGGCGAAGATGGAGGATTTGACGCAGCGAGTTCTGAGTGGTTTCATTCAGCGACTTGGACGTCAAGCTGTGTTTACTAGAGACATACTTTATGGGATATTTTTTTGCACTTTATAGAAATTCTATATCCAGTCTACATATGTCTATAGGTTTGTCTCAAATTGATGGCAGATATTCATTTTCCCTATGTTTTGCTGGCTATTTGGGGTATACCCAAGTTTCAGACAAAGTCAAATCATCTCAATTATATGCTTCTCTATATCTGCGTCTATATATATATAGACGTATGTCTATATCTATATCAAATAACTATCTATATCTATAAATATCTATATCTTTATATATATCCATATCTATTTCTATATCATATCCATCTCCATATCTATATCTATATGTCTATCTATATCCATATCTATTTCTATATCTATATCTATGTCCATATCTATATCTGTATTCATATCCATGTCCATATCTATATCTGTATCCATATCCATGTCCATATCTATATCTGTATCTATATCCATATCCATATCTATATCCATGTGCATATCTATATCTAAATCCATATCCATATCTACATCCATATATATATATACACACACACATCTAAATCGATACATATCCATCTCCACATCCATATCTCTATATATATATATATCTTAATCCTATCCATATCTATATCTTTGTATATGTAGACGTATATATATATATATAATATTTTATCTCTATATATGAATAGGCATACACATATATATATACATAGATACATAGATACATACATTCATACAGTCATATATTCATACATAGATAAATACATACATTCATACATTCATATATTCATACATAGATACAGAGATGCATATATACATAGATACATAGATACACAGATAGATAGATACAGTAGATAGATACATAGATAGATAGATAGATAGATAGATAGTAGATAGATAGAGATATAGATAGATAGAAAGATAGATAGATAGATACAGATAGATAGATAGATAGATAGATAGATAGACAGATAGATAGATAGATAGATAGATAGATAAATATAGATAGATAGAGAAATAGACAGATAGATAGATAGATAGATAGGTAGATAGATAGATAGAGAGAGATAGATAGATAGATAGATAGATAGATAGATAGAAAGATAGATAGATAGATAGAAAGATAGATAGATATAGGTAGATATAGATAGATATAGATAGATATAGATAGATATAGATAGATATAGATAGATATAGATAGATATAGATAGATATAGATAGATATAGATAGATATAGATAGATATAGATAGATATAGATAGATATAGATAGATATAGATAGATATAGATGGATATAGATGGATATAGATAGATATAGATAGATATAGATAGATATAGATAGATATAGATAGATATAGATAGATATAGATAGATATAGATAGATATAGATAGATATAGATAGATATAGATAGATCTAGATAGATATAGATAGATATAGATAGATATAGATAGATATAGATAGATATAGATAGATATAGATAGATATAGATAGATATAGATAGATATAGATAGATAGATATAGATAGATAGATAGATAGATAGATAGATATAGAAAGATATATATATATATAGATAGATAGATAGATAGATAGATAGATATAGATAGATAGATAGGATTAGATTAGATTAGATTAGATTAGTTAGATCGATCGATAGATAGATAGATAGATAGACATATGTAGATATATTTCCCATTCTATATACCAAATAATTATATCCCATTTTACCCCTGTATCATCCTTTTTCTCAGGCACAAAGAGCAGCCGACGCGACGTCGGAGCCGAGTGCCTGAGGACTACCACAGGCACGCCCCCAGCAGTGGGATTTAATGGTGGGAAAATCCATCAGAAATGGTGTTTTGATGGGAAAAATGATCTATGAATGGAGATTTTTCACCCTGAAAATGGGGGATTTAGCTTGAACATCATGGATTGAAGCAGCCAAAATGGGGTTTCTGACTTCATTTTTCGCCCAGGATTTGTGCGAAACCTCATCGGAAGGATAATAGTTTCTGCCTACAAGCAAACATACCAGATTTCAAACGTGATATGGGATTCTGAACAGTACATAATCATATCATAATAATCATAATAAGTTGCTTAGTTATAAGTTATATCCCACGATATTCTGATTTAAATCCCAGCATTGGAAGACACCATTGTATACAATGGGAACATACATCCATAGTACAATGGCATCTATCATACATCTAGATTTTTTATGGGAAATTCTCATTCAATCCCATTAGGACACCATTACATCATTCATACATTTTTTGCAGCTGCGATGGATGCAATTTCCCCCAGTCCTGTGCGCCAGGATGTTCGATGAGCTGCAGCTCACAGAGCAGGAGCAGACCGGGCCGGGACAGACGGCACAGCTGTTGGATGGGGGTTTGTCCATGGCCATGGGGGAAAGCTGAAACGGAAAACCATTTTGGATCATGGGGAAGATGGGAATTTTGGGGTTGACCAAAGATGTAAGCACCAAAATTTGGCCACGAAACCATAAAACATGGCGACGGAAACCGCGAGAATGGGGGTTTGTGCAACGTGCTGATGTGGATATAACTGGTAGAAAGGTGGACTTCAGCAATGCAGTGGTCTTGACCGAAAGACCTGAGCACAGAAGCGACACTTGGATTTATGGGGATCCAAGCTGCGCTCCCACAATGATGGGGATCTGACCGCCTACAGCACCCCTGCATCCTGAACTGGGGTGTGTCCAAATTGCTATCAGAGTGTACAATAGCAGTGGAGACTGGCATTGTGCTACTGGCTTTGATTTAAGCACAATTTTCTGATAATGACATTTTTTTTTCTCCCCATCCACACATCAAAGGTTTTATCTATACTATATCTATAGATTCTCCATAACCCACTGGTGTTGTCGGGCGTTCTCACAAAGGATCTTTTTCTGCCAGGATATGAGCTTGCTCTTCAACTTGATGGACTGGGAAAACTGGGAAGATGACAGCAACTACTGGGGTTGTATACGGAACCCTTCAACAGCTGGGTGAACTGTCCCGAGAACTTGGGGTTATGAGTGGGAAGTTGGGGATGGAATACACTACCCGGAAAGGCCTTGGGGTGCAGGAGTCAAAAGGAGTCAAAAGTAATCAGTGGAAACATCAATCTCCAAAGCTGCTCTACCTCATGCTTTGTCATGGTAAGTCAGGCACATTTTCTTGGGCAACGTCAGCCTGGCCTGGTGTTCTGTGGCACGAGGACCCGCGACATCCAGAGAAACCCGAACGCAGCTGCTTTTGGCACATGCTCAAGACTTTTGCTCCCTCTGTGGTGAGAGGCTTAGGTCAGGAGAGAAATTGAAGACCCAGACTTAATGCCATTTGTGCTGGTACACTGGTAAGCTGCCCCATGTTTGGATGCCGTGCCTAAACACCAAGGTCCTGGAAGACCTGTGTAGTCTTTGTGTCCGTATTTGTGCCACTGTCACCAAAGAGGTTAAGGAGGCTGGACATGGGTCGAACTTGAGGCCTGATTGTGATAATTTGATGACAAGTCGGGAAAACCATCAGTTTGATAAACTTCTGTTGAAGATGTGATGTTTGAAAGTCAGGTTTTTGAGCTCTGCATCACTCACTGCCTTGCTTTCTGACCCTTGGTCAGGCTCAGAAGCTGCCTCTGTGGCAAGCCAGGTGGGGTCGCTAGGTTGAAGATGGACCACCTGTTTGAAGTATTTTCTCAATAAATCCATTCATTTGGAACAGAGACCCTAAGTGGGTAAGCGCTTCCCGCCAGTTCAAACCACAAATCAGATCAACATACTCGGACACTTTCTCTTCGAAAGAGTGAGTAGCAGATAAAGAGATTGAGACCAGGGTTAAACTGTTAATTTTGGGAGGCCACAGAATTGTCTTGTTCATGAAAGATCATAGATAATAGATTCATGATCCAAATGACCATGTTTTTTTCCTCACCCTTTTGGCTCAAAAATATAGGGTGAGTTGGTTCGTTTTGGGGCAGTGTTGAGACTACATGCTGGCATCCACTTTGCCTGCGGGGGCCTCAGATCCCCATTGGGATTCTCTGGGATGGATCAAAACCGCCAGCGATTTCGGTCGGTTTTGACACAGGCCACCCAAAAAAAAACTCTATGAATAGAATATCAAGGAATGGTTCTATCATCAATACATATCAATACCCTCATACATTGATGGTGAATCAATGTGAATCATCAAGATTTGATGGTGAAGCACTGAATCGGCGCCGATTCACAGGCCTTCAATACTGTTGGAAGGGAAATTTACCCTCCAATAATGAAACATGGCTGACTGGGAAATCCCCGATAAACGAAGGTTTTAATGGGAAAATCATCTACAAAATATCTACTGTACAGTACACATCGTGATTTTCCATAGCTGTGTTAGTTTAGTGGGGGGCAACTTGCAAAGCTGGTATCACACGAACACTCTCTTTTTTTGTTTGTTTGCACTTGTGGACGAGAAGCAGTAGGATTGCCCCAAATTATGCAGCCGTTGCATCTCCCAAAAAGCAGTAGAGACGTGACTTTGGCCTACCCTCTAATCAGGTTCCGGCAGGATTTTTTCGTGGCATGATGGGGCATGTCATATGATCATATGTCGTGTCGATTTTTTTCCTTAGTGGTGATGATCGTGATGCATCCTCATCCGAGAAGTTTCAACTTCTCAGAATCCGGGCGCTTCGAGGTGTCATGAGTGCCTCGGGCAGAGTGAAGTCCTTCAATGGCGCGAAGGGCTTTGGTTTCATCGATTGCAACTCGCCAAACGCTCGAGGGCACTAGCGGCACCAGTTTCCTGGTGACGGGATGGAAACTGGATATAACTGGATGGCCTGAGTAGGTTGATTCAATCTTGTGATTTGGGCTGATCCTAAACGACTGACATTTTTCCAGACCCAGAATTTCCTGCCCAGATTTGTCCCAGGATATCGATCTGAGGTGGAACAGGCACAGATGTCTTCATTCACATTAAGGACGAAGCCAGGGCTATTCCAAGTGCAGTTTTGGACACTGGACAGAAAATGGCTGAATCACTTGCCCCCCCCCCCGAGGTTCATGATCTAATCTTTGGAAATTGCCATGTTCGAAGTGAAGCATGTCTGCTCTGATTCCAATCTCCTGCAGAAGAAAAAGGCTCCTATCAGCATCTCTACCGAGCCTTCTCCAACAGTTTGATGAAGCGGCATCACCTGGAATTTTACAAGCTGTAGAACCCGCACAGCCTGCGCAGGACTGCATAGACGGGAACCAACCGGCATCAGGTGACATCCTGTCGAGCCTCGGCCAAGGATGAAACGATGCCACGGGGGAAGGGCCAACCATCCCATGGACGAAGGGAAGCATGTCATGGTTTGTTCAGGAATCGGAGGATACGGGATACCCCAGATTGATCCAAATTGCCAATGTGATGGGGCAAATGAAGCACCCAGTGGTACACTCCCAGACAAAGCCATATTGAAGCCGCTGAGGTTCGATCTTGAGCCTAGCAAGTCCAAACCCGGGCAGATGCAGGCCGCTGGGGACGGGCATAGGCTGGCAGTATGCTGCCATCGGTAAGCAGCCGAAGGAGTCTACGGATCCAGAGGAAACACGAGGGGCAGGGAATGGTAAGCAGGATACATCAGTTGGACCTCTGGGAGTGTTCCCCAAGAATGTCGTGTAATCTTTGTTGCAGGGTGATTGGGGCTCTTGTTTAGAGGAGGGAATTTCTGAGAAGATGTGTTGAAGAGATGTGCCTCAAACAAGTTCCAGGCAGCTTTTTAGACCGAATTTCAACACATCTTAGCAATCTTCGATTTGTTCTGCCATGGAGAGCTCAGCAAGAAGTCAGAGAATATTGCCGTAAGAACTGTCGGGGACAGTCTGAGTAAATCCTGGTTGAGCAGGTCAATGGAGTTATCACGAATGCTAGCGGTAGCTAGCTGGAGCTAAAATTGCTTCAGGAAGGGGAGGGGGAGGTCTGAGTCCAACTTGTCCAACACAGTGATTTTTCACTCAAAACCCTGTGCCCCCCTTACCCCCCTCCCCCCCCAAAGCTCCCGGGGCATTTTGAAGCGGTGAAGCAGATAGTCACGGGCTCAAATCCTGCCAGGTCTATACACGATCTGTATTCAGCATATCAAAATCACATCAAAATCACATCAAAATCCCAGAATGTTTCCAGGCTCATATGGGTATGGATCAATACCTATTAATACCATTTTTAGGGGGATGAACATCCATTTACCAGCTATTTTGATGTTCACCAGGGGTACAAGGTTTTGACACACTGCCATATTAACCTTAGGTTTTGGTCATCCCCCCCTTGGGTGTAAGTATTTAGGGTTAAATCTCTACTGGGAGCTTCTTTGTGGTTTCTTGTGTACACCCGAGCGGATGGGCGTGCAATTACAGTGTACAGATCTAGTATAAATCTACTCCAATGTCTTGGCAACTTGGATAATATTTGCATGTATACCTCCAGTTTCGACATTAATTTTGCTGGTTCTGTAGCTTTTGTATCCATGGATCCCTATCCTGGATTTGATATTGTTCCTTTAATGGGAGAATCCATCCTTTGAGGAATCAGATTAGTTTTATTCTTTGATGTGGCGGTACTGGAAGGGACCCACTATGACATTCCCACAGGTAGCATTTTGGAGTTCGGACTAGAACGCTGCGAATGAAAAATCACATGGTGAGGTCTGAGATGGACGCGTGACATTTAACTTGTGGATGATACCGTGATACCAATATCTCTATATAACGTAAAAAATAACTTTATATACAAATGGATATATATATATTATAAATATTATATATATAATATTTGACACATACATTATATATATATAGATATATGCTATATGTATATATAATATATATATATATACTAAATACTTATGACACACACACATGTATATATATATACATACCCATCTGATATGTACATATGCCTAATACACTGTATATAGATGTTTGCAGGTCTATGCGTATACATAAGATCAAGGTGTCCAGCATTTGTCCATCCATCAACATGGACTTCTTGCGCGAGCCACTGCGTCCTCGCAAGGCAAAGAACGTGAAGGGTGGCACGGCAGTCAAAGAACAGCCCGGCGGCGATCCGAATCTTGACTGCAAATGGTGATTTCATGGTGATTTTAGGGGATTTAATGGTGTTTTTTTTGATGATTTGATCATATTAATGGTCTTTTCATGGGATTTTATGGGCATTCATGGGATCACAAGAATGGGGAACCTCAATTCACGGGGGTTATACTACCCAATATGTTAGAGTCTACAGATTATCACAATCCGTGAAGTGGAAATCCCATTCTTAAACCAACAGTATAAAGGGGTGGCAGAGGATTTTGAACACTGCTCTTATGGGTTTGGTACCTGAAAATCTAGGAGAACCCCGGAGTCTTTTGATGGCGAACCATCATTTGCCTGTAAAAATGTGGCTAGTTGATGAGTCAATCCAGAAATTCTAAATTTCAATCCCCAACGGTGGATTGCCATAATTGAAAAATCTGCAGGAAATCTCCATATTCGGATGGAAAAAGGAGAATCACACCATGATTTCCCCTTATATAATAATCAACTCAACGATGGACAAGGCTTCCTCAGAGAGGATGGGTTCCTAGCTGCTAGGGGCTTCTTTCGGAGTAGGTCAGGCATTGCGAGGCAAGTTGTACACTCAAATGACCCATGCTGAGAATCTGAGAATCGAATTAGATGAGTGGCCAAAAGTAGAATGACCATCCCAGTAGACTAGTTTAGTTTCCTGGTGGTTTTCGAATGACGAAGACTTTCCGACAATTTCTCGCCATTCTCTGCTGCTTCCCCGCTGGACCGTCCTGGACCATCCCAGTTGACCCCGAGGTTTCCACAGGTGAAAAGCCTCTTGGTTGCAGGGCGGGGGCCGAGTCCAATTGAGTCCTCTTGGTGGTGAAATGATGGGTGATACTAAGTGGCTTTAAAGGAGGATTGATGTGGTAATCTGGTAAATCTGGTAAATCTATATAATGTCATAAACCTCCTGAATTCTACCAGAAATAGGTTAGCACTTCGCTGAGGTTTATGGCTTTGGGGTTTTGAAATTTACCATCATCCACGAACCAGAAGATACTGGGCTCGTTATGGGTACCCAGTGACTCTTGAACCTCGGAAACGCAAGGGTTCCGTGGACGCGACCTGAAGTTAATTTCTTTTCTCCCCCTGCATTTCGCAGTCGAAGCTTCCCTATTGGTTCAATTTTAATATTGTTTTGTTTGGAGTGGATCAAAACCTATGAACTCCTCTACAAATGGAGGTTTTGATGGAACAACAGACGTCTGTAAATGGGGGGGAATAGATTCTTATATTTTCTTATATTTTCTTATATCATCTTTGGTGGGGATGCACATCCATGATCACCGTCTTGATGGTTTTATGATCAACGCGTCATGGTTTTATTGCCATTTTTAATGTGTTAAATCCACATATTTTTGGTCCACGTTTGATGGTTAAATCCCAATTCTTTTGGTGGGTTAAATCTAAAATTTCAGCGTTGATGGTTTTGGTGATGAAATCCCAGCTATTTGGGCTGTCCAGGCCTGGGCTCTCGCACGGGGCCAGTGAAGACCTTCAACGCGGAGAAAGGACCTGAGTGGCTGTGGGGCAATTCACCAACAACCATAGGGGACTTAAAACTCAAGAATTTAAGGATCAAAAAGAATGATTTAACCACCGCAAGGTAATTTAAGCACCAAAAACGGTGATTTAACCAAAACATGTGGGCATTTATTCAGCAAAAGTAGGTCATCGAACCAGCACAACCTACAACCTGAAAGTTCACCGTTTGAAGCCCCAGCGAAACATCTTTTTTCAAATCGTGGTACTGTTTGTAGGGATAAGACAACTTGTAATTGTGAAACTCCTTGCGATGGAACTTGTGTTGAAGAGCACATGTTGGCGATGGTGCCCTTGAATGGATTTTTGAGACCTCTTGAAGTGTGTCGGCCGACGTGAAATCTACCCAACCAATCAAAGAGTCCAAGAAAGGATGGCAATTTTCAGATGTCATCATAGCATTAAACAGGTGCTGACTGTTTGCTTCCTTGGCCAGGATTTGGCTTCATCTCTACCGACGATGGCACTCCTGATGTGTTCCTCCACGTGAAGCAGTGCGTGGGATCTGTCCCCAAGCCCGGCGATATCGTCACCTACGATATCGAGCCGTCTATCAACAGACCAGGGCAGATGGTGGCCAAAAACGTGCAGGGTGGCACCGGTGGGCCAACTGGAACGGGTGGCTACGGAGCCATCAGAAATAGCAGTGACATGTCGCACCTTAGTAGCCCATATGGGCAGAACGGGATGGGGGGAATGGGCGGCATGTCTCAGATGGGCGACATGAGTGGGATGGGGATGAACCCACAGATGGGTCAGATGGGCCAAGGTCAGATGGGCCAGGGCCAGATGGGCCAAATGGGGCAGATGGGCTGCGGGTGTGGTGGCTGTCAAGGCTGTCAAGGCTGTCAAGGTTGCCAGATGGGCCAGATGGGAGGCTGTGGCTGTGGTGGGTGTGGGGGCTGTGGTGGCTGTGGTGGCTATGGCTGTGGCATGAATGGCTGCGGCGGGTGTGGCTGCATGTCCTCCGACATGAGTGGCTGTGGAGGTTGTCAAGGCGGTTGCGGCGGGTGCATGTCCCAGCCCATGATGGGACAGCCACAGCAGCAAGACGGCCTCGGAGGATGTGGCGCCTATGGCATGTCTCAAGGAATGATGGGACAGCCACAGCAGCAAGACGGCCTCGGAGGATGTGGCGCCTATGGCATGTCTCAAGGAATGATGGGACAGCCACAGCAGCAAGACGGCCTCGGAGGATGTGGCGCCTATGGCATGTCTCAAGGAATGATGGGACAGCCACAGCAACAAGATGGCCTCGGAGGATGTAGTGCTTGCGGTATGTCTCAACCTTTGATGGGGCAACCACAGCAGCAAGACGGCCTCGGAGGATGTGCTGCTTGCGGAATGTCTCAACCTTTGATGGGGCAGCCGCAGCAGCAAGACGGCCTCGGAGGATGCGGTGCTTGTGGGATGTCTCAACCAATGATGGGACAGCCACTACAAGCACCACCAGACAGCAGTCTTGCGGGTTGTCAAGCAGGGTTTGATGGTGGGTGTGCTGGTGGAATGATGCAACCAGCCGCCATTGGACAAGCACCTGCACCAGATGGAGGGTTTGCAGGATCCGGGGTGCCCCAATGATTGCAGCCTCCGGCCGGTGCTGGCCACCAAAAGCGCGATGAGTGCGGCGACGCCGTGAGTCAAGTCAATCCAATGTAATGAGAAATGTCGTGAAACATGTGAAGAAAAGCTGGACACTAAAATGTCCAATGTCGCAATGTTGGAAGAAAAGATGCGAGCACGTCCTGATGCCGTCGGATGTTAGTATACCATACTATACTTAGAACAGGTGCTGCACTTCGAGACACTAGATAGTTGGGTCATAAGTCATAGGTTATAAACTAAATCACCAAGCTGCAACCGATTTTGCAATGATTCAAACCCAAGTTGTGTGGTACTTTCGCATTTTGGTCCTACAACATCAAGGATCACATCTGGCACCGTTTTTATTGGACGCCCGTGGGCAGCCAATGATCTGACTAAAACCGATTCGGGAGCTGTACCTTGGATGTTACTCACGCCTCAGCATAAAACATCAATAAAACATCAATAAATCATCGACAACTTATGAAAACTTATCACAGCTCCTCAACATCATGAAAAGATATTAAAAGTCATTTGAAGTCATGAGAAAGTTTGGCCTCAGGATAGTGATTTGTACGGATTCCCACGGTGGAAGAAGCCCAGGGTCTCAAGTATCTGGAGGCAACTGGGCTTGGCCCGAAACTTTACCAAAGAGTTGAAGGTATGGCGTGGGCCTTAGGGGTGGGGAGACACACCTCAGAAACCACGTGCCGCTTGGTGGTTTCGTCCATTGGGGGGATGATCCCCAATTACAACTCTTGTTGGGATGACATGAAGCCACCAATCAGATAGGATGTGACCTTTCCAACTTCTTGTGTCCAAAATACCCAGCACTTTGATCCACTTTGCAGCTTTGCACTGAGTAGGTGCCAACAGTCCCAGTTGAGGTCTCCCCTATTCTTGAAGCATTGGATGCAGAAATGGCTCATTTTTGGATGGGAGTTTCTGGAGGGCTGAAGATTCCCAGGCCTATGGCTCTGATCAGGTCAGATGTGGTGGATGGCAGCAGAGTCTTTGATGTTTTCGCTGGCCTAGTGCCGGGATACCCACCTTGGGATGGGAAAATGGGGAGCCACCATTGGAGCCACCATGTTCAGTAGCGTTTAGTGGGTTCTTTCAGTGCGGTGGCGTTTTGTCACTTGATGGAAACCTGCTTTCCACTTGCCTTCAGTTTAAAATGAAGAATCACTACTTAGAAACAGCAGAAGACAAGAATTGGACAGCTGGTGGATTTTGGGACCAGAACCTTTATGATCCTTTATGCACATCCTTGAAGTCTCAGATGCAACCCAAAAATGCCAGTTCTAGTAGAAGCTCATCTTAGAATCCGCGGTGTGCAAATTCCATACGAGCCTTTAGAAGGTTTTCGATTTGAATTGACATACCCTCTGGTAATTTAACGTAGCTATGGAAAATCACAATTTTTAATGGGTAAATCCACTATAAATGGCAATTTTCAATAGCTATGTTAAATTACCAGAGGGTACATTGGCACTGTGGTATCAAGCGTGTTCCGGTTCCCGCAGATTCCGTAGATCAAGTTCTCCGCAGGCCTGGCCAAGCCGCCAAGGCGGCAGGAGCACGACGGGAGGCGTGTGGCGGGATGTGATCGCCGGGAGATGTGCCATGGGGCCATGGGGAGTTAACACACATTTAGGCGAGGATTTGAGTACCCTCTGGTAAACTAAGATAGCTATTGAAAATGGTGATTTATAGTGGATTTACCCATTGAACATGGTGATTTTCCATAGCTATGTTAGTTTACCAGAGGGTAATCAAGAAAGATGGGAAGTTTTACTGATGGAACTTAGCTTGGGTTTTGAGCAAGCCACATGTTTTTTTTCCTTCAAAGTCTAGGAACAGTGAGGAGTGGCACGACAAACATGCCGTAGAATATAAAAATGGATGTAATATGATGTAATCATAACAGGATATGGATATAACATGATATAACTGCAATGATTCGTGCGTGGACTGGTAATGTTGGACAACGAACCATTGCAAGCAACAGCGGATCATCAACTGTATTATGTCCAAAGATGGCGAAGGGCCACAACCAAGATGCTTTCTCCATTAGTCTCCCTTCGACTCAGAACGTTTAGGATATTTTTAGTGTGTACCAAGAATTTCGGGAGAGCCCAAGTGTAGCATTATCTGCTCTTAGGCTGGGGAGCTGGGTGTTAAACACTCCTTTTCTGCTCTTCTGCTCTCGGGCCTGGCGACCGGGGCAAGTGGGGCAAGCGATGGACCTGCCATTTTTATTACTCTAAGTATTAAAACTGTTCTATAGTCATCATTAGGCCATATAGTCATTATTTTGTTATTCTTATAGTGTTATAGTAATATATAGTAGTAAAATTGTTACTCTAAGCACAAACATCCAATACATCCAATGTTTGGGGTCAATCATTTTGAGACATGGCCCTCATCGAGGCCCCGTCTTAGTCATCATACCTCCAAACTCCAGCTGCATGACTTGTGCTTTTGCGGGATTCGAATTTGTTGCGGTGATTTTTGAGGCCACCTTGATTGTCCTGCACTCAGACCAGCGATAAGACACAGGCAAGAAGATGTTGTATGATGTTTTTTGATGCACAAGAGGTGCCACTTACTAAGAGTGGACTACGCAGTGGTTGAGGTGCAACAAATGCCAAAAAACCATTCGCACACAGCTTCCGGAATTTCAGATGTATCATAACGGGCATCCTTGATCTTGTTACAAACTTGTGATGAAGTGTTGCCTGCCAAATGCTGACTAGCAATGCTCATACGGTCCAAAACAGTAGGGGTGACCTCAGAGGAATGCGCCAGACACCACACTGCTTGGTTCTGATGGTTTCACCACTCAGCCAACATCAGTGTGCCGTCTGTTCCATTTGATGTTTCGAACGGGCCTTACTTCTGACCCTCTCCCGATGTTTCGCGCTTGGCTGAGGCGCCATTGGCGGCTCTCTCCTGCAGTGCAACAGGCCGAAAACTCATGAAATCCTTCCGCCAAAGTCACCGCCAAGCGTAACAAGCTTCACAAGCTCCTTTCCCCTTTTCAAATTGACTTGTGGCACGACAGAACATCGCTTGACAGAGGAAGACACAAAATCAACCACTGCACCAATTTACAAATCATATCACCCCGAAGAAATCGCCGAAGCATCCGAAGAAAGGTAACAATCAACATAATCAACATAACCAATCAAAAGAACAACTATCCACAACCACCAACAAAAGAATCGTTGAAACCAGTTCTCCAAGCAGAAATTCTTCGAAAGTCACACTGCCAGGCGCTAACTTCCTGGAAGCCTCTAGGCTCGGACGACTCAGTGAAGCGCAACTGAACCAGGCGAGCCCTTCAGGGCACTTTTTGTTTGTGGGATAAGCCTTGGAGCATCCCAAATTGGGGTTAGGAAATTGGATGAATTTGGATATACGCTTAGTACTGGGATGTAAAATGACCCCCATATGGTACGGGATGGTTTATGGCACTTGGTGGAGATGTTGGGATGTAGTTTATGTTTGCGAGGAGTTGACGACATGACCTATGGTGAAAAAGGGGGATTGGGACCGCTGAAAATGACCAAAGTGGCAACTGCTGGCAGTCTTGGGGGGAAGCTGCTGGAAGGTGCTCCACGAAGTCTTCTATGAAAGAACTGAAGTTCAGGTCTATGCCCTAGTGTTTTGGAGATCTTTGGAGTTCTTTGGAGATCTTTGGAGATCTTTAGATTGTGGGCAGGATGACAATTTGCATTTTCTGGACACCTGCAATTGTTATCAATTGTTTGGCTATTTGGACCTACAAGACCCTGCCATGGTTTAGAGTCCGATTTGAGGCCGCAGCAGTTTGAAGTTCCAGATCGGTTTATTTGCATGTTGGCCGTGGGATTGTGTGTTCATGTACCCTTTCTTAGCAAAACATGGGCTTGTCTGAGAGTGTAGCTCAAAATCCAGTGATTCATCATTATCCTTCTGCAAAAAACGGCTATTTGGGGGGTTAATCCCACATTTTCAGCCATAACCACACATTGGAAGTACCCTCCATGTTTGACTTCCACCTTGGAGCCATTTTTTGCTATGGTGGTTCTGTTACCAAGACACCGCACACCATAGGTCAAAGCATCGGTTCTCTTCGAGCTCATTGAAGACTCACAGGGCGAACGACACGCGCGGCTTGGCGATTTACGGTTCATCCCCAAGGCTGGCAAGAAGATGTTTCGATCCATCCCCTCATCTTGATGAGGCTACTCTGAGACTCTATGTCTTTAATTTTTCAACTCGAACTGTTCCGAACTGTTGAACTTTAATCGAACTGTTGCAGTTTAAGCAGTTAAACAGTTCAACTGCACCAAGGCCCAGGGGTCTTTCGATCTCAGAGCCTGGGAGCCAAGCGTTGCTGGTGATCAAGTGAGTGGCTCACGTTTTTGGACCCACACCAAGCCACATTTTTTTTGTTGGGGGGGGGGGAAGAGTTGGGGATGTTTGAATATGAACTATTCACTTTTCTGTTTTTTTTTGCGTATTTCTGGCTTTGACACCCAAGTTTGACCCCACGACGTTGCGAGTTTGTCCCCATGATAACCCGATGGCTTTGGTTCCCCAAGTTTGACCTGCTGGTTGAATTGGATCTGACGTTTAGACTCAATGGATTCCTCTTTGAATGGTTTGAGCCCCCAGTTGAGGTTCTTAGCGGCTGTGGGGTCAATGGGCTCCACAGATGGGCCTCCAGTTGACACCTCGCCTGGGGTCCCAGGATGTCCCAGGGGTGAAGCGGGGCTGGTGAAACTGGGGGAACCTTAAAGTCCTTTTTGTGGGGGAAGAGTTGGGTATACCCAGCCTGAACACTTGATTTTTGTTTTTCCCCGAGAGCGTCTGAGCGCAAGGTTCTTCCAATAGTGGGGGTCTGTAAAACATCTTCTCATCTTCACATCTTCTCATCCTCACATCTTCTCATCCTCACATCTTCTCATCTTCACATCTTCTCATCTTCACATCTTCTCATCTTCACATCTTCTCATCCTCACATCTTCTCATCTTCACATCTTCTCATCTTCACATCTTCTCATCTTCACACATCATTCTCATCTTCACATCTTCTCATCCTCACATCTTCTCATCTTCACATCTTCTCATCTTCACATCTTCTCATCTTCACATCCTCACATCTTCACATCTTCTCATCTTCACATCTGCTCATCTTCACATCTTCTCATCCTCGCATCTTCACATCTTCACATCCTCACGTCTTCACATCTTCTCATCTTCACATCTTCACATTCTCTCTTGCCCTCTTGCTCTCTTGCCCTCTTGCTCTCTTGCCCTCTTGCTCGCTTCTTCTTTTCCATTTCTCTCTTGAAGGTGCGGGGCAGTGCCAATGAGACGGCACGAAACGCAACCCTTTCGCACGAAATGAGGTTCGATCGCCAAAAGCTGAAGTAAAATTGCGATTTCTGGCGTCCAATCGCAACCCTTTCGCACGAAATGAGGTTCCATCGCCAAAAACTGAAGTAAAATTGCGATTTCTGGTGTCCAATCGCAACCGTTTCGCACGAAATGAGGTTCGATCGCCAAAAACTGAATTCTGAAGTAAAATTGCGATTTCGTGTTTCCGGGCGCAACCGTTTCGCGCGAAATGAGGTTCGATAGCCAAAAACTGAGGTAAAATTGCGATTTCGTGTTTCCGGCGAACCATTTCGCACGAAATGAGGTTCGATCGCCAAAAACTGAGGTAAAATTGCCATTTCACGGGCCCGGTCTCTGTGCGTAAAAGTGTTTGTGTGTAAAAGCGTCTGTGTGTAAAAGTGTTTGTGTGTAAAAGCGTCTGTGTGTAAAAGCTCCTGTGTGTAAAAGTCTCTGTGTGTAAAAGTGTCTGTGTGTAAAAGCGTCTGTGTGTAAAAGTGTCTGTGTGTAAGTCTCTGTGTGTAAAAGCGTCTGTGTGTAAAAGTGTCTGTGTGTAAAAGCGTCTGTGTGTAAAAGTCTCTGCGTGTCAAGGTGTTTGTGTAAAAGCATCTGTCTGTAAAAGGGTCTGCGTGTAAAAGCTTCTGTGTGTAAAATTCTGTGTATGTAAAAACTTCTGTGTGTAAAAGCCTCTCTGTGTGTGCAAGCTTCTGTGTGTAAAAGCCTCTTTGTGTAAAACGTCTGTGTGTAAAAGCATCTGTGTGTAAAAGTCTCTGTGTGCAAACGCGTCTGTTTGTAAAAAGTTCTGTGTGTGAAAAACTATACGAAATTTACGATGCAAGCTATGGTCTTGTGTTTGTGATATATTGTCTTGATACTATTCTTCTCGTCTGCCTTTAATACATCTTTAATATATTGTCTTGTAATATGGTGTCTCCATACTAACAACAGAAGACTCTGCTCCTCTACGCTCTCGGGCCATCCGTCGTCTAGTTTGGAATCGGAGATCAGACTCCTGCCCAACACTTTTATGGAGAGATCAAGAGATCGTGACCAAATATTTGGCTAGGGGTCAACATTTCTTTTGGCCGATGATGCTTGCTGAGTCATGGTGATACTACCATGTTCAGGGGATTTTTGGTGCAACCACTGGCAGCCCTTAGCGGAGGAGATTCGTCGCTCTGGGAATATTCCAAGCCACCAAAAGGCCAATGTGTAATGTGTAAGTTCACCCCGGTACGTAGGGACAAAACATGTGATTGATCACCTGGCCAGCTTGGGCTGCAGCCACGACAGTTGGCCAGTTCCCCTAGGCCCTAGATGAAGTCCAGATTCAGGGCAACCCGTTGGAAGGTGATGATTCTATTGGGATTACTTGCTTGGCGTCTTGACATCTTGACCCAGAAAGGTCAAACGCCTAATTTGGAGCATCTGCGTGCAGCTTTTGGCAAAGACGATCTGCCCACAAAAGGGTTGTCACAGCTCTTCTGGCTTTGATGGCTTCAGAGTGTTTCATGTCATAGTTATATCCCATCCCTTGCATGATCCCCATTCCAATCACCTTCCTGGAGTGGCTCAGCACCAGGGTGTCCCTCCTGGGTTTCTCCTGGCTCTGCCATGTTGTCCACGCTGGTTCTGAGCTCCGTTGCCTCTGGGATTCCCAGGGCACATTTCCAGCCGAGCCGCGTGCTGGCAGATGCTACCCTCAACATGGGGCTCACCTCCGTTCGCTTCAAGCAGGATGTTACAGGGGCAGAATTTCATCCAATTTGACTGGGTGAATTCATGGGATACCAGAATTCAAAGGGACCATTTGCAGGAAACCACTTTTGCAAGGAGCGCAAGATCATTCTTTTTGGGTCAACCGCAAATCGGATAGACCCAACGCAATCGTGATCGCACAAAGCCACCAAATGGGTTTGTCTGAAAATAGGGTGTCCTCAAATTTGTTGGTGAGTCACCATTTTGCCTATGCCACATTTTTGCACAAAGCCAAATTTCATATTGTCGGTTATATATCCCATGACATCCGATCCTCATAAAAATATCTCCAAATTTCCAATTCTTGTCAGACCTTGGAGGATTTTTGGGGCAATCCCCCAAAATTGTTGGGAATCAAATCCAGCATCTTCGTGGGGCACGAAAAATCCGCCATTTTTTTGTGGTGGTAAATCTTCCACGGTGGAGGACATTGTGGACCTCTTCCGATCCGAGCGCTTCGCCTTCAGCACGGCCCTGGACATCGGCACGGGCCAGGGCTCCACGGCGGCGGCGCTGGCGGTGAATTTTGGAATCGTCCTGGCCACGGAGACCCATTGGGATCTGGACATGGGGGGGCTACTGGGATGGATCCAAGGCATCCAAGGCATCCCTTCCCCATCCTTCCCCCGTTCATAAACATCCCCCATGGTTGGCAAGGAAATGGGATGTTTCATGGATGTAATGGGACCATCATTGAGAAATCTGGGCATTCAATCAAGAGAAATGGGCATTTCACGGATGGAAACGGGGATCTAAGAATCAAAACGGGCACATGGACAAGGGTCAAAATCTACATAATTACCACCTAGTTTGATGTGAACTATATGCAGGCTACCTGGGTTTGATACGTATTGGGCCTTTACTTTCGACCCTTGCTGTACCCATGGGGATATTATCCCCACGGGTACAGCAAGGGTCGAAAGTAAAGGCCCAACTAAACCACAGATGGACTTGTCTTACTTAGTAGTCAAACATTCCATTTTGTTGGGTCCCAGTTCCGGTAACCGTTGCCAGATATCCACGCGACAATTTGGGATGTTGGTATCCACAGGTCTGGGTCGCTTCCGGCGCGAACTGTCCACTTTTGACTATATACATACTTTTATGTGCATCAAAGTTCGACCCATACCCGGAATACATGCATTTAATGATTATCCGGATAGACGGGAGCAAAGGCGTACTTCCCAAAGTGTTTATTTCGACTTCTGACTTTCAACCACCATCGTGATAAACTTCTTTATCTATAAAAACCCATATGTTTGCCAACCTGCTCAAACCTTGCCTCTCAACTGAGGTTTATCCTAGACAGAAGCAAACTGCTGCGGGGTGATGGAAGGTCCTTGAACAACATCGTGAGTATTCACCTAGATGCATCTACACCGTATAGTTTTGGTATTTTCGCCACCCAAAACATCAGTGCTTGCGTCATCGATGCCCAACACGACTTTGAACACATTTGTCGAGAGACCTTTGCAGTGTTGCGACATATCCCTTGCTGCGTGGAAACCATTGTGTACCATGATTACTGCAACTCAGACTGGGCTTATTTCCCACATTTCGAAGGGCCATCATTATGATCATTGCGTATCCCAGCAATAGTAGGTGGTTCCATGCAAATGGATGTACATGGATTAAATGGTACGTGAATTAATGACCACGGTAAAACCCAGTGATATATGGTCAGATCAATGGTTCATTTCTATAGAACCTGCTGGATCTGAGGTGATGCAGAAGTGTTCCATTCCGTACAGTACTTTGTCTTGGCCGGGCTTCTGGCCTTCCGCCGCTCGAATGGATGGGAGGCTGCATAGGTGGAGGAAAACAACGTTCTGTTTGCTAGTTTGATGGCCAGTACTATTGCTAGTTCTCGTTTGTGTGGGTTATGACCCATAGGTAACAGTATTTTTTCCCAACTACTATGGCTATGACTATAGCTATGACTGTACTTACAACAAACTGTAACTACTTTATGAATGATTTATGCATGATTTATGAATGATGATGATGATGATGAGGAGGAGGAGGAGGATGATGATGATGAGTTTTGGTTGTAGGTTTAGTAGCCTGCAACCTTGGCGAAATTGGCGCAAGGGGCAGATGTCACCTTTGGTTCCTCTGAAAAAAACATGTTTTCTGACATTGCTTTGTGGGTCTGAAAAATCAAGGATCGATTGACACTTAAGGCGCAAAACGATCTTTCAGACCCTTGCGCATATTCCTCAAGGTACCGGCCATTTTTGCCATTTTTTTCTCATTGTATCTCCATTGTATCCCTATTTGGCCTGGTGAAATCGCAATTTATCATGGTAAAATTGGGACCAACATATTCCTTAAGGCTTGGGAGTGCTTGCTGGACAGGTACCAGCATCGGCACACACAATTGGGATCCAGTCTGGTGTCGCGATGGACGTCCGGAGGGTGCGGCCTTGCGGGTTCTACGCCACAGCGAAGGCTTTCATGACAGGTTGGAAGCCCTGTATCAGTCGCTTGCCCAGAAGGGCGGGATATCCACCAACGTGGGGAGATGCTGCCCCTCGCTTAATCTAAGGTGACAACGGAGAATCCCCCCTTTATGTTCATCTAGAATTCTACATATTATATATATATGATATACAATTATAAATGTGGATGATTTTCCTAGCAGTCATTTTTTCATATTTTTTCCATTGCCATGTATGATAGTATAGGTGAATTTTTCATGGCCTGATGATCACACAGCTTCAAGGAAGCAAGTTGGGGGAACCCACTTTGGACCGACACTCACATCCAGCCGATTTGTTTGAAGGATGGTGTGTTTCTGTTTGGTTTTGCTAGCTTTGATCTTGCCGCAAGCGATGCCTCCACCGCCACATCTTTTTCTTGGATATCTCCTCCAGGGAGGAGGTTGAATTCCAATGCCCAAAGCTCCTGCTCAGAAAGAACTTTTCAATTAATGATTAAGGTTCCAGGAGTTCTAGTGATTGTAGTACAAATGTGATGTTTTCTTGTCCTTCTCCAAGTTGATTCTCAAAAACAGCACCTGCATCCCCGAAACGCCTGGGCTCACGAAACGCTTCACGGCTTCACTGAGGCATTTCATGTCACCGATCCGCTTGGCCGATCCATTGACGCAGGGCTTCCGGGTCCAGGAACGGCTCCATGGCACCACGTGGCTTCTGCTGAGCACCGCACGGAAACAACTCTACCTGTTGCACTTGGCTTTTCATCCAACTGCTTCGTTGCTGGTGCCATTGCCACGGTCAGGCTGAAGATGTGTGAAAAATACTTAATATGGGGTTCTTTGGGAGCCAAAAACACAGTCTATTTCTGCTAGTCTGGGCTATATGTTCTCATTTCTATCAAACAGTATCAATTGGAATGGGAGCAACTGCTGAGTATGGATTCATCTCCAAATGGGGGAGGAAGGGCAGTTTGGATGGGGAAATTATGAACCATGCAATTTCGGGGTTCCAATTATTTGAGGCACACCCAGCATAGAGGTGAAGACTGGAAGCTCGAGACAGTGCTTTCCTTGGGCAGTGCGAAGGTTCATGGCATGCCCAGTCACCGGAATTTGCTGCTCCTGATCATACCCATTTCGGATGATCCTGAGTGACTTGGGTCTTGTTCAGCATCAAACTCTGTTTCTCTGCTGGATTCTTGAGAGTAATTTGCTTCCCACTGTTTGGGGTCTGCACTGGCTTTGAATGAATATGTATTTTTGCTTTGCATTTAAACTTTCCTTGCGTGTTTAGTACATATTACAAACTATATATATATTCTTACACATTTATTGCACTATTTTTTCGTATGCGACCCCCTACCAGACCGCCCCTAGGATTCCAGCCCATTCCCAGTGAGTTTCGAGGTCCTTTGCCTGGGCTGAGCTGGATCGGGACCTTAGCTTGATGCATTTGCGCATCGAAAGGGGCGACGGAGACGCCTGGGAATCTCTGGTTGAGTGGTGAGCTCCCGATTTTGGGTTTGTCTGAAAATCGTAGAAACGAACGCCAGTGGCTTAAAACCTATTTTTTTGTCCCGATATTGAGGTGCAATTTTGGGGGATATACAGCATTTTCAGACAAAGCCAAGGTTTTGTTTTTATTCAAAATGAACGTCATTTCAACCAGAATGGATAATCATGGGAAGATAACCTCAAATGACTTGAAGAACATTTGCCGGGTTTGGCTCAACCCAGGAATGCATCGGTTTCCAACAGGAGGGCTGGAGTATGGAGCTGCAAAAACTGATGGACAACTTCCTACACGTCGATGCGTCGCTGAATCGTGCCGCAGGTGGATCTTTCTTTCAGCTCAAGGATGGTGTAGGGCCACCTCTGGAGACTTCGTTGGATGATGCGATGTGAACCGAACGGCCTGTGAGGCACGTGCGAATCATCATTGGATAGCACTCTTTATCCTGGAGAATACAGCAAGCAACCATTTGAGAAGACTCAAGCTTTTCTGGTTTGGTGACATCACAACTGAAGGGTCATTTGTCACTGGCAATTTGACACTCAGTCTCGAGCTTCGCCCTGAACTAAGCTTCTTGACAAGTGATCTCCCACTTCATGAAGTAACGGCTGTCAACGATTCCCAGCTGACATACAACACAATCTATGCAATGCAATGCTATCCTATTGTTATGCAGCTCCAGAGGGCTGGGGAACGAGGACCGATTTGTGGCAAGAGTTTATACATTTGTTTTGTTATTAACATCCGTTGGCAATTGTATTACGGAACATCAGAATAGACTTATTTGCTTTCATTAAAACCATTATTTTGGAATATTTTGGACATACCCAAGTCAATCCCAAATCTGATTTCGAATGATGCAAACATCAACACCTCGAAGGATCAGAGGGCCACTTTGCGCTTGGTCGTGCTTGGATATTATGGATAGAAAAAGGGCGAAGTCGATCACAGATCGGCTCATAAGACTTGCAGCAAGGCGCAATGTGTAATCCATGTACATATGTAGGTCAATGTAGACATCTATGTCTATATCTATATTTGTAAGTATCGACGATTGTCTACAATTGTTTTTACATCACATCCCAATCCCATCCCATTCCCATCTATCACTGAGGCCCGAAGGCCGCGAGGCCAGGGCTCAGATGGAGGCACGATCTCAGCCCGGGGACCTTGGTGTAAGCTTCATCCCTGGTGATGGTGAAACATGATATGGGTCTGGGTCAAAATTAAGGACCTGGACCACAGATAGCCTAGTCTATTTTTAGTACCCTCTGGTAATTTAACATAGCTATTGAAAATGGCCATTTATAGTTGATTTACCCATTAAACATGGTGATTTTCCATAGCTTTTTGTATGTTTACCAGAGGGTACCATCCAATAATTGGGATCCTCAATTTTGACCCAGGCCCAATATGAGGATGGTAAGCAACAAAAACAAGAGATAGACACTAAAAATGATGCTTGAGGCTTATATAGTTGTTGGATTCTGGCAAGTTTGAGAAGGGGGATTGTGTACGAAAATCCCGGGTTTGAAGCTACCCTGGGAAAAGTGCCATCTAATGGATATATAAATGTGTGATTTCCGTTGTCAGATTCCATGACCACTACCTGGATCCAGCTGGTTGACCCAGGTTCGAACCCTTCACGAGCTATGCCGTGGACCTGCGCAGTGCAGTGTGGCTGCCAAGTTTACTCATAGGTTGGATCACTTTCAACCAGCATCATGATTTCTTTGCCAATGTTCCGAGGCGTCACACTAGTGTGGTAAACTGCCAATGCCACACACCTGCCGTTTTGGATGGTCGAAATATCACCCATGGTGTAGCCACATGACCCGTGACCAACCTTGGCAGGTTCGGCAAAAGGTGAGCACGACGGCTTTGCCGAAAAGTCTGGTGACGGGCAACAGTTCAGAGCCCGGGACTCAGCTGCTGCTTGGGTCTGCCTAATCATGGGGCATTAACGCCCCCCCCCGCCCCGCCAAAAAAATGCAGTGGACAATGATGATAAATGAGCAGATTTGGAGGTAGCCTATTTTCAGACAAACCTGGTGTGGAGCTTGGAAAGTCTCTAGTATGTTGGACATATCGCCCACACTTACAATAGTGAGCTAAGTGGGTGGGATTGGAACTTGCCCCATATCCGTACATCCCAATGCAGCAAGTGGCCTAATATCGGTATGGATCAAACTTGGGCACCCCCAAAAACTGGGGGTCTCTGCCCCAAAAAATGAGCACCCAGTGGCTGGAAAGATCCAATGAAAAAAACAGATCATCCATGACAACATTTCCCCAAATCACCTCTTTATAGTGGCTTGATCTAAAAAAGTTCCAAATTGGATGGATCTTTTGGAAAGCGACCAGCTCGCTGGTCTCAACTGTCTCAACATAGGCCCTTGAGCTATGTGAATCTCAGCAGTGTGGTGGAGGCGAGTCGTCATAGCGACCCAGCCTGGGCAGGGTGGGACTCCAATAACAGTTACTTTAGGATGCCTATGGATTCTTTGTACACGATCCTCTGCCAAGCATTCATCTATTTGGAGAAATTTCGTGGATTGGGTCAGTACCTATCGATCTATCAGGAGACAAGTCCACAACTACCAGCCTAAGTTTTGATGTGAAAGGCAAGGGATTCCAGGGTTTGACCCACCCCCATTTACTTAAAGGTTCCTAAAACCTGTGAGGGTCCACCGAGTTGTGCAAGATCGCTGTAAGTGAAAACAGGTCCCAGAGAAAAATGAAGAAGCGCCTGCAGAGAAGCTCCGCACCTGGGAGGCAGGGAAAAGACTTTGATGTAGGTAGTCCCCTCGGAATTAGGGGACAAACCTTCTCTTGCTACATGATAAAGCACTCATTCATCGCGGTTCGTTCTCGGAACATGCCACCGTTTTTGGATCGTCCTTCTCCCAGCTTGGAACATCTCTGTATAGAATGTTGATCTAAAACCCTTTGTTGAGCTAGGATATGTGTGAGATGTTATCTCATGCAAACTAAGGAGGGACCAAATTCGACACTGACACCAGTTTATGACAACCCTTGAATCAGATATAAATTGGGTATGGCCATGGCCCCCCAAAAAATCTGAGAAAAAGCGCCTGGAGGACAGGCACCAAAAGCTGGAAACCCTGAAGTTGGTGAAGGTTGGGATCTCGGGAGGAAACTTCGATCTCAAGGTCTGCACAGAGCTAAGCAGCTTGGAGTTTCGAAGATTCATTCCACCAGAGTTTCTGTTTCTTTTTTCAATATGATTATATACTCCTATTACTCATGTTAGTATGTGGAAGGGCGGCTGGCAGTGCTTTTCTTTATTGGGTCAGAGTTGTTTCTTTGATGGAATTGCCGCATGATGCCAGCTTGTCAATTTTGCGACACACAGAAGAAGAAGAAGAAGCTGCTCTTAGCTAAAGAATTGGCTGCTTCAGTGAAAGATGCATAATGCCGCGCATATGTCATACTTACATGTCCAAATTATTGCAGAACTCTTGAATTAAGTGGGGTTGGCTCACTCAGGACAGTGAGCCGAGTTGGCTGAATTTTACAAAGTGCTTCACAGGGTTGGTACAAGTTCCATTTGACCACTTTTGTGATTCTGCGGACCTTTCCACCAATTTTCGATCCTTCAAAAAACAAGATATCAGGATATATCAGGATTATCAGGGTCTCATATCTCAGGCATTCCGGAGAAAAGTCAAGTTGGGGATGCCCCAAACAACCATCCGAAAACCCAGCGTGTTCCGTCGCGCATGGGCCAGGATCAAGCCTTGCGGGAGATGCTGGAGCGTGAAGTCTGCCTGGAGGCCACTGGTTGACCTCATGATGGTTCATGGTGGCTAATGCTGATAGTCAATAGGGATTAATGGTGTTTTTTTTCCATGGCTAAAGATAGCTATTCAAGAGTGGTTTGTGGTGGTTATTAATGGCGATACGGGCGATACTGGCTAGCAATTGTTAATCATGGTAAATGACTATCAATAGCTTTGGAGTTCCCAAGTCATAGAGGACCCCATCATTTGATCCTCCAAGTGGTTTTTGTCATTCTTGATTGGAGAAACCAATGCTTTTTGAAAGGGGTCCTCCAAGTTTGAGAAACACCCATACGTCAAGCAAATAACATGAAGGGGCTTCAGCTCTCAACATTGGGGATACTGCATCGACAGGCAGTTTCAAAGGGATCATTACCATCTTTGGGATGAACACCCATCAATACCAGCCATTTTGATTTGAAAACCATGGTACCTTCCATGGTTTTTCCCAGACCCAATTCACCACCTGCACCCAAGGACACGCCTGTGGCTACCTCTGTTGCTGGACCTGTTGCTGCGGTCGTGGTGAAGCGTCCGGACCTTGGGATGGAGGTCACTATTTTGGGGGGGAACTTGGTCAGTTGACCTCTCTATTGTACCAAGTTTTCCCCCAAACGTAGCTTGCGTATTGGGAGCAACAATGATTGAGAGACATCACGTGCCGAGGTCAACCGGGAGCTGCGGAGTTTGAGTGGGAGATCCCAGTTGGTGATTTTCCTGCTCCGCTTGGCGTTGGGCTATTGGATATATAACTGAGCCAGGGTGAATGCTGAGGATTTTTGGTGCCCTGACTGCTCCCTAGCTCTGGAATGGTCTGGAATTTGCACGACTGATAGAGCAAAAGAGTCACTTCTCAAAAATGGTTCACTGCAATTCAATCCAGTCTCAGTCTGATTGACCTTCTCAGTTGAGTTTCTTGCTTCGATTCGTCGCAGCTTGCAGGTCTTTTTATCACCATATGGAGGAGACCGGCAGATAGGGCGTGGAGTATTGAGAGCCGTCGGCAAAAAAAAGCCCAGCAGATCTTTCAAGAAGTGCCTGCTGGTTGCATAGAGATTATTTTCACCCATTCTAGAGATTATTTCGCATCTTTGGTCATTTACGTGCATTGGGATATGATATAATATGATATATAGCATTATTTTTATTGATTTTCGTAATACCTTCATCCCGGAAAGAAATATCATGCGAGGGGTCGCTAAAGCTGCAGCTGCCTGCACATCTCATCCTGGCGTAGCATAATTGGCCCATACTAATTTGCTGCTGATTGTTTGTTGGGTGATGATCCCTTCCCTCTTATACTGAATACCACCCATATGGGACCTATTTTCATGAATAGATCCAATACCAAACCATGGGGTCTGGGGGGTATTCCATGTCTGGGGGATTACTCATTGTCCTCCACTCTAGGGAATGTGATCACGATGTATGCTTGGAAGCTGATCAGTTATCCCCTCCATCCTGTTCACAGCTTGGATCCATGACCATCCAACACTGCATGGTTTTTTCCCCCCACTATTCAAGCCATTGTAGACTAAGGTTTATTAGTCTATGGTTGATCGGTCTTTTTTCAACTTTTTACCATTTTGAGAATAGGCCATAGTGATTATATATTCCATATAGTCCCCTCCACTCAAGCCACCAGTTCTTGGTTGATCAGTGGGGATACATCTGGCACCAGGAGACCACTCAGTATGTCCCAGACGAGGAGTTGGTGGATCGCATGCGTGGCTACTTCCGCGATGCGAGTGGAGTTGTCGAGACGCAAACTGCCCCGGGCCTCAGTTGATGGCGAGGTGATCACAAGACCACTGGGGGGGACTAATCCCTTCCCAATATTGAACACCCCCCAAAAACGTAGGGGATTTCTACATAGTTGGGACCATTTGGTGGGTGTTTAATGTTAGGGGGATGGGATTATATATGGAATTGCATTCATTCTGGCGATGTTCCATAGGCTCTTCTGTCGAAGAAGCAGAACATCAACAGCAGCCACAAAAGTTTGAGGAGGGCCCTGTCCTTGAAGAGATCCATCAAGGCAGAAGCCAGGGCTGCCAGAGACGTTTGATGGCCCCAGTTGGGGGGCAGCGGCAGCACGTCTTGCTGCTGGAGTTTTGGGGACATCGTGGCTTGCACGACATGAAGTGGTGTTTTTTTTTGCCTGTCTTGTTTGGTCTTGATTTTTTGAAAACCAGGCAAAACTATATACAGTAATTTCCTTTGGTTTAATTAGCTGAAAAAAGAACCTGGTCCAGCCATGTCTAGTGTCCTTTGCTTCGCTGCTGCGGCAGTTTTCGTGCAAGATCTGACCCCTTCCATGCTCTGGCGAAGCTATCTCGGTTAAGCCGAAGGTAGTGGAGCGCCATGTCGAATCGATTTTTTCTCACCACTGAGCCACCTTTGAATGCGTGAGAGATCCGATGCTAGTGCTATGGGGTTATACAAGTTATGTAGGCATCATGTAGAGACAGTAACGTTGTGTCAGAAAGGAGCGACTTTGAGCGGAACGGTTGGTGACTAGCTTGGTGAAGCCTCGAGGCACTCCGTGCCTCCTTGCTGCCACTGTACTTCTAATGCCGAGGTCATGTTTTCTTGGCAGATGATTTTTGGATCAGCCAAAGTAGCTGTATCCGCTGGCAGGTGCAAGTCTAAGGTCCCATTGAGCTGATTCGCGTGAGCGTGATGACTAACACAGTGGCTAAAGTAGGTTGAACTGAATCACATGGAAGCATAGGGACGTTGTTCAGCTTTCACCTGCTGCCCCGACCAGTTGGGTGCAGGGGCGCCACACCGGCAGAGAGTTTGAGTTGCGGAGATAGGAAAAGGGGGTTCCTTTGCTTCAGCCCAAGTTTGTCAGGGAAGTAAACCCATTTCCGTCCAGTCAGTGAGGTACTCATCGCCTTACGATCGATTGTCAGGTGGTGTGAAAATTCAAGATCTATACGTATGATTAGCCTATATGGCTTTGCCTGAAAACAGGCCCCCCCAAAGAATCCAATGGTTGATCATCAGTTTCACCGTTCAAATTGTTATTCGGGGGTATACCCCAAGGCCATAAAACTGGGACGTTGGAAGATGGATCCCACCAACGCGCCAGACACAGAAAGATCTCAGACAGAAAATCTCAGGAAAAAGTCTTTGAGATAGTGCCAGGACGGTCATAGATCATCATAAACCATTCTCTTGGCTTATATTCTTTTCTCCCTTGTTTTTTGGGTTGTTTTTCTATACACGCCGAAAATGGATAGTTTTAGATCCTTAAAACGACGGTCGCCTGACAGGTGCGAGGAACTGACCGCCGAGAATAAACGCCATGTGGCGGAGGTTGGACTGTGGCTGTTTTTCCATGGGCTTTCAAGTGGGTTTGTGCGACCCCCTGGGACAACACAAGCAGACTAGATGAAAAGACTGGCTGAGAACATCGCTTAGATCGGCTGACTGGGGGAAGTCAGGCCATGTTCATCCATTTTTGGGTGCATGCCATGAGATTTCTCTGATTTCTGGGTGTTTTTATGGACCATCATTTTGATGAACTTTGGGTCAGTCCCAAGTGTCGGCAATCTGGTCAGCAGAACATCAGCTGAATGATTCTTTTGGCACCTTCAATTCATGAGTCAGTTGTGTCCATACACATGTGGACCTTCAGGTCCGAAACGCTCCGAAACGGGGAAACAGCACCCAGCTGAAGGTTTCACGGGTCCTAGCAGGCCACAGACCCCAGTCTCTAACATCACTTTCTGAACCCGAGAATAATGAAAGCTTCAAGCCCAGCAAGCAAGTCCTAGAAAGGCAAAGGAAGTGGCACCAACACGCCAAAGAGGTTCAATGTCACCTTAACCAAAGGAACTGGCACCACGAAGCCAGTGAAGGTCTTGGGAAGTCTTGTTGTGGACCTTCGGAAACGCTCCGAAACGGGGAAACAGCACCCAGCTGAAGGTTTCACGGGTCCTAGCAGGCCACAGACCGCAGTCTCTAACGTCACTTTCTGAACCCGAGAAAACTAAAAGTTTCAAGCCCAGCAAGCACGTCCTAGAAGGGCAAGGGAAGTGGCACCAACACGCCAAAGAGGTTCAATGTCACCTTAACCAAGAGAACTGGCACCATCAGGGCAGTGAAGGTCTTGGGAAGTCTTATTGTGGTCCAAGACGGGGAAGCAGCACGCAGCCGAAGGTTTCACGGGCCGCAGTAGGCCACAGACCGCGGTCTCTAACGTCGCTTTCAGAACCCAAGACAGCAAGCCTGTCCTAGAAAGGCCAAGGAAGTGGCACCAACACGCCAAAGCGGTTCAATGTCACCTTAACCAAAGGAACTGGCACCGGCAGGCCAGTGAAGGTCTTGAGAAGTCTTGTCGTGGACCTTCGGAAACGCTCCGAAACGGGGAAACAGCACCCAGCTGAAGGTTTCACGGGTCCTAGCAGGCCACAGACCCCAGTCTCTAACCACTTCTGAACCCGAGAATAATGAAAGCTTCAAGCCCAGCAAGCACGTCCTAGAAAGGCAAAGGAAGCGGCACCAACAGGCCAAAGAGGTTCAATGTCACCTTAACCAAAGGAACTGGCACCACCAAGCCAGTGAAGGTTTCGGAAACGTTCCGAAACGGGGAAACAGCACCCAGCTGAAGGTTTCATGGGTCCTAGCAGGCCACAGACCGCAGTCTCTAACATCACTTTCTGAACCCGAGAATAATGAAAGCTTCAAGCCCAGCAAGCAAGTCCTAGAAAGGCAAAGGAAGTGGCACCAACACGCCAAAGAGGTTCAATGTCACCTTAACCAAAGGAACTGGCACCAGCAGGCCAGTGAAGGTCTTGGGAAGTCTTGTTGTGGACCTTCGGAAACGCTCCGAAATGGGGAAACAGCGCCCAGCTGAAGGTTTCATGGGTCCTAGCAGGCCACAGGCCCCAGTCTCCAACATCACTTTCTGAACCCGAGAATAATGAAAGCTTCAAGCCCAGCAAGCATGTCCTAGAAAGGCAAAGGAAGTGGCGCCAACACGCCAAAGAGGTTCAATGTCACCTTAACCGCGTAACCAAAGGAACTGGCACCAGCAGACCAGTGACGGAAGGTTTCGCGGTCCACAGCAAAATTCCATGGAGCAGCGAGGTGCCAGCGCCAAAGCGACAGTGCCGGAACGACACTTTTCCTCTGACGCGCTCACCCTGCTCATTGCTGGGGTCGGCGGATATATAATGCACCCATTTTTTGGGTGGTCAATCCCAAGCATTTCGACCGCAGGCGGAGGCTGCTGCAGCAGTGGTGCTGGCGCGTGAGGCAGCCACGAAGCGAGTGGAGGCGCAGTGGGGTGGATGTTGAATCCCATCCCCCTAATATTAAACATGCCATTGTATGGTCCCAATTATCTAGGATTTCCCTACTTTTAAGCCATGGTTTCTCAGGTGGTGTTGCATGTTGGGAAGGGATAGGGGTGATTTTTGACAGATTGTAGATCCAGTCCAATATGGAGGCCCTAAATTTCACAGTGACATGTGTCATAGACATTGTCGTTTTGTCATTTAAACCTAAATTTCACAGTGACATGTGTCAGAGGCATTTTAAGTCATGGAGGATCCCCAAGTCACCATAGGTTTCAATACGAAGTCATGGTCTAATGACTTGGATGATTTGGGGTGCTCCCATTTTAGGAAGCCACTAGATGTTATATAGATATCTCGTGATATTTGATGAAAATTGCAATTATCTTATGAAGATGATCGTTGGCAAATATTGTTGGGATGGGATGAACACCATCTAGTTTTGTGTGGATACGCAAATTATTCATCTTTTCGTTTGGTTTCAACAATTTTCAGCTCAAGTGATGGCATGTGTCAGGAGGATGGAACGACCAAACTTAACATGTGTAGCTTCTTTGATAGTTTGTTTTTGAACCATACCCAAGTGTGGCAAGGTGGTTGTGTCTCATATGGGGTTTTGTCAAACTTTAGAGGTACGAAATCATCCCTCTCGGGAATTACTGGGTTCAGTCCCACATAGAGGATTATTAGATCAATTCTACCCATATTTACTATCTGGAATTATTGCCTTTAATTATTTTGCATCAACGTGTATGACTGCCAAGTTCAATGGATCATTGTAATCTAGACAACTGTATGAATATATTATACACACATATTATGTAGATACACACACACACCCATAGCTCCTACCTGTTTCAGCAGGGGTTCAATGACCAGCCCATCTGTAACTGCAGCGATTTTTCTTGACTGTGAGGCCATGCAACGTGACATTGAAGAAGCCACCGCGCGCAAGGCCAACATTGTCTGGGACTCAGATTGGAACAAGCGAAACACCGTGTTTTAAAACATGTTTGGCACGTACATAAACCCATGATTGGTACTAAACCATGTTCGGCATTAGCGATGGGAACACCTACACATGGTAATTCCCTTAATAGTTGACCTCCAAATCATCCAATTTGTGGTTAATTTTGAACGGGAAAGCAATGGCGATAAGGGGTATCCCGATTATGTGATGGTTTACCCGGAAAACAGTGAATGCAAACGCGGGGATTGCAGCAACTTGAAATGAAGTCCCAATGGACTCAAGTCGCCTTTACCAACTGCAAGGGGTGATTCACGTAAGCACGGTGTGAATCTTAAGCACCAACAGGGGGGATGGCAATCAACAAAGACGATGGCTCAAACTCTGGCTCAAGGGCTGAACATCATAAAAACACGAGTTAGTTGTGAACTAAGTGAAAGAAGTGACTGCAGTTTGAAGGGCGGTCGCTGCGGTCGCTTGCATGTCAAATGACGCCGTGGAGCTGTTCTGGGCATTGTTGGAGTCTTCGAAGTATGACCAGGCGAGAAGCAATGTCCCGAAGGACTTCAACTGGAACGTGCTTCATCCTACAAAGAAGATCACGCTCCTAGTGGCAGCGTGTAGATTCCCAGATGATAACAAAGAGGAAACTGCAATTCTGAACCTGATTGAATGGCTCGTCAGGTCTGGAGCAAGTTTGTCCCAAAAGTGTGGAAACACAACCTATTGCTGGACGATGTGGACGGAAGACGGCGAAGAAATTAGTGTGGACTACAAGGGACATTCATTGCTGTCCTATATCGAGGCCTGGAAACTGCTATTTTTTGATCACAAAGAGAAAATCCAGACATGGACTGCAGAGTTGGAGTTCCTGGATAGAGTCATGGACAGAGTCGCAAGGGCTTCAAGCGAGCGGCAGGTGAGGCCTAGGGCGTCGGTGGATGAAGGCATCCTAGAGATTCCTGGATTTGCTGAAGTTTTTTTTCCTTTTTGAAATCCCAATGGGAAATCCACTGGGGAATCTATACGGAATAATTAAAGGTTCCTGGGGTTCCGCGAATCCAAGGATTTGGGAGAAGTTTTTACATGCAACGGCTTCACATGACTTGGACATTGAAGCTGCGGATGGGCGTGTGACAGCTCACGCTCAGATGCTGATGGAGGCATCTCCAGTTGTCCAAGCCATGTTGGTATCTCCCATGAAAGAGCGTCAGACGAAACAGATCAAGTTAAAGGACACCAGTAGCAGTGCAGTCACACTGTTCTTGGAAGTTCTCTACACCTGTTCTTCCCAGGGTGATCCAGACTACAAAACTGCACTGTCCGCGTTGGACTTGGCTCATCGATGGCAAGTGGAAGTGGTGGTCGAAATCTTGGCGGATTTCATTGAAGGACCAGGGTTTCAAAGTGTTTACAGCCATCAAAACAAAAGCAGTTCGCTACGTATTCGTATTTGGTCCACTTTGGTCCCCTTGAGCTGCCACAAAATGATGGATTTCTGGTTTTGTTTAGGGCCCCAATTTGGGTTTGTCTGAAAATCATATACCTCATTGCATCCACGGATTAATCATCAGTTTCCCTATTGAACGGCCCTAAGTTGCGGTATAACATGGTCTACCAGCATTTCTGACATTCCACTCATCCCTTCTCCCTAATATCAACCCCCCACAGAAACCATGGTTTAGTAGGGGATTTACACATAATTGGGACCACGTAGGGGATGTTTAATATTCGGGGGATGGGATTATTATATCCCTTTCAATATTGTTTAACCATTTTTAGGTCCACCCGATTTTTAGCAGATTCCCATTGAAGGTCTCATAACGGAAGAGACTTTCGCAGCGATTGCGGAGCATGCGTCCTTGAAGGGCCTGGACAGGCTGCAGAAGGCTTGCCAGAGCTTTGGACTCGGAAACGCTGCGATTCAGGAGATTTCGTGGTTTTTCATGGGATTTCATGGTGATTTCACCACACATTGTGTTTTTTTTTTTTTTAATGGTGATCTAATGTGATTTAGGGCGATTCAACTGCTGAAGAAAGGCAGGTGAGTTCTCCCACTTTTTGAGGCTTAAAAAAACGCAGAGATCTCTACAAATCTTGGATTTCCATGACGAACCCCCAAGGTACGGAAATAAACGCGACAAATGGTTCTTCAGGTATATACCACATATCATGTTGTGACATGTTAAACCATGGCACATTGGAAATCAATGGAAATCAGTGGGCCGATTGAATGGGCTTCCCCTTGTTCCCGAGGAGCAGCTGGGGAAGGGCGACTTCCCTAAGATTGTTCGGGCCCTCTTCCAGGAGAAAGGTGCCGCATACCGGGCGGTCAAGAAGCGGAAGCGGTTGTGAGGCCTTCGCGGCCATAGCTGGCAAAGACCGGCGAGAGGGGAAAAAAGAGAGGCGATGAAACGTAGGACATAGAATGTGGATGTAACCAACACCAAGATTCAATGGGAAGGAATCACTTTACTTATCCTCTCAAGTCTCAAAATGACATGAATATGTAATAGAATCATTGCACAGATACCAGAACCATCAATGCTCTTTTGACTATGGATATATTTGGCGCATCTTGGCGCATCTTGAGCCGAACGTCCTCAGAGCCCTGGCCGGCCGAAGGCCATGGACATCGACGAACAATTGAGGGCAGAGGTGGCAGGGGGCAGTTTTCCCCGGCCCTTCGGTGTCATCAAACGTGGGACATCCGCCATAAATGGACGTTTTTGATGGGAAAATCATCTACAAGTGGTTGCCATGTTTGATACTGGAGGGAAAGTGGAAAAAATCTTGTCTCAGAAGTGGGCCCTCAGGTTCCAGCCTTTTTTTGCCATTCATGCTGCCACGTTGTTCTTCCATGATCAGCCTCCTTGATCATGTGTTTCTACTTATGCTGCAAACAAGTATATATGCAATCGCTGAGCAAGAACCTGCAAGAAGTAGAAGAATGCAAATGAAACAATGAGCCGATCGAGGAGTAATTCATGCGTTTCCGACACTGTTGGAAAGAGACGGCAACTTGTAGGGAGATGAACATCAAACACAACCAAGCCAGGATGCCAGCAGATCGCGAGAGGCGTGGTGAGTACAATCCCGGTACCACTGCAAAATGGAGAGAGAAAAGGTCAACGCAACATTGATCTTCAACCAATCTTTCTTTGTATAGTATAGATATGTATTAGTTGATTTTTTTTTTGCTGGTTGATTCCATAGTCGTTTCACACAGACTAGTTTTAAATAGTGTGAATATCATTTCATAAATATTTAATATCTATTTCTTTTGGTAGTTTTTTTTCCTCGCCTTGTTTGATTTCCAAAGATGCTATGTCAAATCTGACACGCTTGCAGCGAGGCCAAAAGCCGCGAAGATCTGCAGGCTTTGGCGGAGGCGGCTTTATCAACAGCACTTTGTTGATGATTGAATAACTATGATAACTATAACTATTAAAGGTGCTTATCAACTATAACTATTATAGCTATAACTATTATAACTACAACTATCTATAAATAATTGACTGATACCACTCAACTATGGTTCACTAAGCATATTTCCATGTTGATTGATATGAATTGAATTTAAACGATCAAAGTACTTACTGTAAGAATATCAGCAGTGAACTGTATATTTTATTATACAGTCATGAACTTTTTGGTATGAACTAGTAATATGTTATACATAATCAATTTGAGATTACTAGTATTAGTAATGGATAAACTCTTAGTATCAACAAAAACATCAATCATGAACTGGTGATAGTATACAGTACAAATCATTCATATTAACTGGTGATATCGTACAATGATTGATACTAATATTACAGCAAGACCCTATGGTTTGCCCGCAAGGTTAGAATGGAGTCCCCATCCTTTACCAGACGACGAACCCTAAACCCTAAAGCCCTAAATCCCTAAACCCTGAAAACTCTGAATCCGAAAGCAGAAAACACTGGGTATACGCAGTATTAGCTGCAATTTCTCTTCTCATGTTCGAGGACAGGGAATCCTCAATGTTGCAGTCCAGGCAAACCACGGGGTCTGTGCGTAACATTACCCACAGGCCCCGTGTGTTTGTTGCCCAGACCCACAACTATGATGTTAGATGATGTTTGATGATGATGATGATGATGATGATGATGAATGTTCGATGATCAACAAGGGTATTAGGAATATAAATTCCCACCACCGTTAAACTTTACATTCAATTGGGAAGATCAACAAAGGTATTAGGGAATATTACAGTCCCACCCCCGTTAAACTTCTACATTCATTGAAGATCTTCAATAAGGGTTTATATAATTCTCCCACCCCCGTTAAACTTCTACATTCATGAAGATCTTCAATGAGGGTTTAATTCTCCCACCACCGTTAAACTTCTACATTCATTGAAGATCTTCAATGAGGGTTCAAGTCTCCCACCCCCGTTAAACTTCTACATTCATTGAAGATTTTCAATAAGGGTTTAATTCTCCCACCCCCGTTAAACTTCTACATTCATTGAAGATCTTCAATAAGGGTTTAGTTCTTCCACCCCCGTTAAACTTCTACATTCATTGAAGATCTTCAATAAGGGTTTAGTTCTTCCACCCCCGTTAAACTTCTACATTCATTGAAGATCTTGATCATGTTCATCATCATCATCATCATCACCATCATCATCATCACCATCATCATCATCACCATCATCACCGTCATCATCACCATCATCATCACCATCATCATCATCATCATCACCATCATCATCATCATCACCATCATCACAATCATCATCATCACCATCATCATCATCATCACCATCATCATCATCATCATCACCATCATCACCATCATCATCATCACCATCATCATCACCATCATCATCATCATAATCATCATCATCATCACCATCATCATCACCATCATCATCACCATCATCACCACCACCATCATCATCATCATCACCATCATCATCACCATCATCATCATCACCATCATCATCATCATCACCATCATCACCATCATCACCATCACCATCATCACCATCATCATCATCACCACCATCATCATCATCACCATCATCATCACCATCATCACCATCATCATCATCATCACCATCATCATCACCATCATCATCATCACCATCATCACCTTCATCATCATCATCATCATCATCATCATCATCATCATGAACTTTGCCGGGAACGTCCTTGTAAACTTCCGGGCAACACACAGGGCCTGGCCGTAACATTAGTATCACCAGTTCAGGACACCGAAGACCTCCTCGCGGCGCTCTCCAGTTCCTTGGGCGCCGGAAAAAAACCATGGGGAGGAAACCGGAAAACCAAGGAAAAAAATGTAGAAATGCTGGGTTTTCCAGATATTTATGGTGGGTTTTCCACATCTATGTGAGTTTACCAGAGGGGATCAATCTTGATGATGTCAAAACTTGGGTTATCTCAGTTATCTCCAACAAATTGTTGCAACCTTGTTTTTGCTGACGTCGTCCAATACGGCCCCGGGGAATTCATGCATTTTTGTACGATGCACATGATCATGAGGTTGAGTCTGGGGTGGGGCTGCAATGACGCTGTGATGTGATGTAAGACATGTTGTGATGTTACGCCAGAGATGGGGTTGGGTCTGGGGTGGGGCGGCAATGACGTTGTGATGTGATGTAAGACATGTTGTGATGAAAGACACGCCGTGATGTTACGCCAGAGATGGGGTTGGGTCTGGGGTGGGGCTGCAATGACGTTGTGATGTGATGTAAGACATGTTGTGATGTTACGCCAGAGATGGGGTTGGGTCTGTGGTGGGGCTGCACTGACGTTGTGATGTGATGTAAGACGTGTTGTGATGTTACGCCAGAGAATGGGGTTGGGTCTGGGGTGGGGCTGCAATGACGTTGTGATGTGATGTAAGACATGATGTGATGTTACGCCAGAGATGGGGTTGGGTCCGGGGTGGGGCTGCAATGACGTTGTGATGTGATGTAAGACATGTTGTGATGTTACGCCAGCGATGGGGTTGGGTCTGGGGTGGGGCTGCAATGACGTTGTGATGTGATGTAAGACATGTTGTGATGTTACGCCAGGGATGGGGTTGGGTCTGGGGTGGGGCTGCAATGACGTTGTGATGTGATGTAAGACATGTTGTGATGTTACGCCAGAGATGGGGTTGGGTCTGGGGTGGGGCTGCAATGACGTTGTGATGTGATGTAAGACATGTTGTGATGTTACGCCAGAGATGGGGTTGGGTCTGGGGTGGGGCTGCAATGACGTTGTGATGTGATGTAAGACATGTTGTGATGTTACGCCAGAGATGGGGTTGGGTCTGGGGTGGGGCTGCAATGACGTTGTGATGTGATGTAAGACATGTTGTGATGTTACGCCAGAGATGGGGTTGGGTCTGGGGTGGGGCTGCAATGACGTTGTGATGTGATGTAAGACATGTTGTGATGTTACGCCAGAGATGGGGTTGGGTCTGGGGTGGGGCTGCAATGACGTTGTGATGTGATGTAAGACATGTTGTGATGTTACGCCAGAGATGGGGTTGGGTCTGGGGTGGGGCTGCAATGACGTTGTGATGTGATGTAAGACATGTTGTGATGTTACGCCAGAGATGGGGTTGGGTCTGGGGTGGGGCTGCAATGACGTTGTGATGTGATGTAAGACATGTTGTGATGTTACGCCAGAGATGGGGTTGGGTCTGGGGTGGGGCTGCAATGACGTTGTGATGTGATGTAAGACATGTGATGTGAAGACCGTTGTGATTACGCCAGGGATGGGGTTGGGTCTGGGGTGGGGCTGCAATGACGTTGTGATGTGATGTAAGACATGTTGTGATGTTACGCCAGAGATGGGGTTGGGTCTGGGGTGGGGCTGCAATGACGTTGTGATGTGATGTAAAACAAGTTGTGATGTTACGCCAGAGATGGGGTTGGGCCTGGGGTGGGGCTGCAATGACGTTGTGATGTGATGTAAGACATGTTGTGATGTTACGCAAGAGATGGGGTTGGGTCTGGGGTGGGGCGGCAATGACGTTGTGATGTGATGTAAGACATGTTGTGATGTTACGCCAGAGATGGGGTTGGGTCTGGGGGCTGCAATGACGTTGTGATGTGATGTAAGACATGTTGTGATGTTACGCCAGAGATGGGGTTGGGTCTGGGGTGGGGCTGCAATGACGTTGTGATGTGATGTAAGGCATGTTGTGATGTTACGCCAGAGATGGGGTTGGGCCTGGGGTGGGGCTGCAATGACGTTGTGATGTGATGTTCAGGACATGTTGTGATGATTTTTTGAATATGTATTTATATATATATATGTGTGTGTTGTGTGTGTGTGTGTGCATGTGTGTGTGAAGTCACATATATATGGATCTGTCCTTGACTTGGTGGTTTAAGTTTCAATGTATGAAGACAGAAGAGCCAGATGATGTGACAACATGATCTTTCCTTCGTTTTTTGCTCAAGATCTCCTTCTGTTCATGAACCGAGCCATAATCCCCTTCAGTGCGTTTGCTGGCGTATCCTATTTGAGTTGGAGCTGGTTCAGGATTGAAGCCCCAAGATTTGTTGCAGATACCTTGGTACATTTGGCTAAACCCCATTGGTTAGTGCCCCTGTTTGATTCCAGCGTGGACCCGTCGTTGATCGATTCTCTCTGGGCACTTGGCAGTGCATTCATCCTGTGGCACTCCTGGCGTGAAGTTCTTTGGGTATTCCGGGCATTCTTAGGAGTTTTGTTCTGGTTCTTGTGCATCTCCAATTCAACTTTGGAAGCTGTTTCGCACTGGTGGTTGAATTTTCTAACTGCTCGTTTCAGAGATCAGTGGGCCACTCCATCACAGAGTGCAACAGAACAGGAAGCTTTCTTTACCTGGCAGACTATGGCCGGAGTGGCAGGGGCCGCAGCAGTCTTGCCGCCTTTGCCGCTTGGTACTTTTGTCTTGGTGAGTAGGCCTCCAGAATGGGACGAGGTGATGATAGCTGGTTTCACAGAGGATCATACTGTAGCAGTGTGTCGAACCACGACCTCAGATGGGGGGGATTGGTCTTGGGTGATGATTCAGGTCAATGGCTTGCATATGAGGTTGTCTCAGGTAGCAGCGGATGGGACTCGTCGTGCCCCGCCTGGTGTGGACGATCAACGCAGCAATTGGGTGTGTACCCCGCCTGGGGGGGCCCAGCAATGGCGTCCTGCAGCAGCGGAGTTGGCGAATGTGACAGTAGAGGCCAATCTGATTCTGGCGCAGTACCGTGCCAACCCAGGGGCATGGATGATCAACCAACCTGGAGTTTCTGGGGACCTGCAACCTTTGGGGGTTCACCAACCTGGCCCTATTGGCCCGGGAGGAGCCGGAGGAGGCGGGGCTTTGGCACCTGGAAGCCCCGGGGGTGCCGCGCTGGGTGTCGGAGGAGGATCACCAAGCCAGTCGGCCGACCAGCTTGCACAACTCAAGGCCCTGGAGTCAGCTGTCTCGCAACTTCAGGCCATTGCTTTGAGCCCATCCCATTCCAATCGCAGCCGGGACAAGGACAAGAGCAAGAAGAAGAAGAAGAAGAGAAAAAAGAAGCACAAGAAGAAGCGCTCAGGGTCATCGACCTCATCGACCTCATCGAGCCGATCCAGGAGCGGAGGTTCCAGCAGCGTGTCTTCGGGGGAGAAGAAGAAGCCCCTCCGATGGAAGATCGACGCCAAGGACAAGAAGGTGCCTTTGTCCAGTTTGACCCATGTAGATCAGTTGAAACTGAAGAAGAGGGGGGACTTGGTTTCCTTCGCAGCTCGACATCCGGGTGCGCTGACTGCCCACTTTTTGGCCAGCGTGTACTCAAGATTGTCAAAGGGGTCCCTGACGAGGTCTTCCCAGTTGAGGCAAGTCTCGGTAGCAGCCTGGGCCCAACAGTTCTCAGGCCTCACGGAAGTCCGGGACATGAAGGAGGTGGTGACGTTAGCGGAGATCCTAGATGCTGTGAACAGGGAAGAGATTTCCCAGGCCTTGGATGTGCTATGTCAGCGCATTCTGGCAATCCAGGCTGCAAAGCAAAAGGGAGGAACCTGGGAAAAAGCCGAGGCCATCGAGCTGGTCGACAACAGAAAGTCCCTGGCCAGCACAAGCATGCTGGCATTGACCAATCAATGAAGAGGAGATTCAGACGGTCCTGGTATGCGTTGGCAGGTGCATCGAAGGAGCGGCTGGGCTTCAGTGATTTCTACGGGAGGACTGGGCATGCTTTGGTGAATGCTCTCAACACCCATGATTCTTCATTGGGCTTGGCTCGCTATGTGCATCAAATTTTCAGCATACTGAGGCAGTCGTGGCGCATGTTTGAATTCAAGCGTGGTGGATTTTCAAAGAAGAGCTCCTCCATGTTGTCACCTGCACATGTTTTTCCATTACCTCCTATGAGTTGGAAGGGACGGATTTTATCCCTGGATGACTGTGGGAAGAATGAGTTTTTGCAGTGTTTGTATTATGGTGGAAATCTCATTGTGTCGGTGCTGAATTGGTTTCACGGAGGGCACCTTGGGCATCATGACGAGGTCCTTAGTGCTGCTCACATGAGGGTGCATGACAGGATTGCCAACACCCTCCAGGCTCAGGTGATGACCGATGAGCCTGTCCTTGGTCCCCAGGAGATCGATGATTATTTGAGGCATTCTCAGCTCTACTCGGGCAGTGGAGTTGTACTAGCTCTAGGAGTACGAGGTGGAGTCCCTGACAAGGCGGCTGATGTGCAGTTGGCCGATCACCTGGAGACTTCTTTTCCGGAGATGAGCCAGCAAGTGCGGAACCCTACCATATTGTTGCTGAAGTCCCGGAAACGCCCCAAGCTGGTCAAACGTGGCTACACTTGGTTGGCTCCATCGTATGGCGAGCTGGTGCGCAAGAACGTTAAGGCTGGACTTCACAAGTTGAAACATCCCCATCAAGTGGCACGTCATAGGGGAAAACCAATTTTGGCGGGTGCTTTTGCGGTTGTGAAGGATAGCAGCGAAGATCGTGTTATCACAGACCCCCAAGTCAATCAGCTCCTGAACCCTGATGTTTTGCCTCGTCCCAAATTTGCGTTCATACCTTCTATGCGTGGGGCGTCAGTGCCCAGACATGGTTTGGTGGTGGTGAGCAAGAGAGATGCAAGACATTATTTTCACCGCTTGCGGATAGGACGTCGATGGGGCCGTTGGCTTTGCGGCCCTCCTATTGACTTGCCGAAGCCTTCAGGTGGGGTTCGGAGAATGTACCCAGCATGTCAGTCCACACCCATGGGGTTTGGTCCATCAGCGGGGTGGGCACAGGGGTTGACTGATGTAGTGACTCTAGATGCAGACCTTCCTCAAGATCGCCGGTTACATCCTGATAAGGTAGTCCCTAGTGAGTTGCCTATTTGGAGATCGATCATTGACGATATTTGGGCAGTGGAACACATGGACACTGATGATTCACAACTCGTTGGGCCGCAGTGGCTTCAGCGTGCGGAGGATTGTTGGTGTCTACGTGAAGTTGAGCCCAATGCCAAAAAGTCGGTCAATGGCGCAGCAGGCGAGGAAGTTCAGGGTTACTATGTTCATCCTCATGACCATTGGGTAGGGGTCTCCATTGAGAAGAGACGGATTCTTTTTCAAGCGACAGTTTCTTTGTTGCTGAGACGTAGGGTTGTGGTGGCCGTGGTGGACAGGTTGATTGGAAAACATAGTTTTGTTCATTCTGGTAGACCTTGTCTTAGATCAATTTTTGAGCATACATATGTTTGGATTACTTCAGTGAGGGAGTCTAAACGTGCTTTGGTGGAGTTGCCGGAAGAGGTATGGTCAGAACTTTTGGCATCGGCTTTACTATTGCCTTTTGCTCAATTTGATTTATCCAGCCCGTGGTCAACAAGACTCGAGTGCACTGATGCGTCAATGTCAGGCTTGGGCAGAGCCTTTGGTATTGTCCCTGAGATGGTGGTGCGGACCTTGGCAAGGTACACAGATCATCAAGGGGTGTACACCAATCTTTCACTTCCTTGGGGTATAGGGTTGAAACAGCGACATGTATGTCCCATGAGAAAGGTTCGGTTGCCTATTGAGCGTATTCGGTGGACAAAATGTGGGGTGCCGTGGAGATGCAAGCACATCACGCTAGGTGAAGCAGATGCAGCCTGCTGGGCGGCAGAGGATAGGCTGAGGCGCCCGCTTGATTGTGGAGGGCGTTTTGTGCATGGCCTGGACTCGGCAGCTTGCACTGGTGCCTTCACAAAGGGTAGATCAAGCTCCCACCAGTTGAATAGTAGGTGCAGACGTATGGCTAGCATCAATATATCTGGTGGACATGAAGTTTTTTACCCATGGATGCCAAGTGGTGAGAATCCAGCGGATGATCCATCCCGGAGGTATGATCCGTCTTCAGCGAAGTCTGAGCGGGCGGAGCTGGCGTCTAGTGAGCCAACCGTTGACATTGCTGAACTGGGTTGCTGGCCATCACATCAGCTATTTTTCATTCATTTGTGCAGTGGTCCCCGCCGATCTGGTGATTTATTGGATGCTGTGGAGATGTTGGGTCGTGAACATGGTTTTGATATTCAAGGTCTGGCCATTGATCCTCTGGCAGTGTCGCATGTTTCAAAGGTGGGGGGACAGGCTAAAGTTGTGAATGATTTATTGCATGTGCAATGTGGTTGCTGGCTCCTAGACTTCATCAAGAGCAAAACAGTTGTGGGTGGTTTCGGTTCCCCTCCATGCAGTACAATTTCAGCGGCGAGGCATCAACTTCTGAACCTCCCAGGACGTAAAGCACCTCGACCCCTGCGCGCTAGAAGTAACCCTTGGATACCTTTGGATTATTGCAGTGATACAGAAATCCATGCAGTCAAGCTGGGTAGTGCATTGTTTTTGATCACATTGGGATTGTTGGGGGAGATAGCAGTGCGAGGTGGTTGGACTGGGTTAGAGCATCCTGCCGACAGGGACAGGGAACCATACCCTTCTTTCTTCAGCACTGAGGAGGTGAAAGAGTTTATGCAGCAGTTGCGGTTACGATACCTTGAAATTGATCAATGCATGTATGGGGCATTAAGTAGGAAACCCACTGGTTTGATAGTTCCAAGGGCTAGTTTTTTCGATGTATTGCGTTGCAATCACAGTGAATCGCATCCCTTGCGTGTGGGGTTGGATGACAATGGTCACTTTCGAACCACACCGGCAGCGAAGTATCCCGTTGCTCTATGTTGCGCGTTGGCTGAATGTTTCATGAAACGCTTGGTATTGGCTCATGAGAAGCACTACATGATGCCACAATCACCTCTGGTTTTGCCAGCGGGGGACCCTGACCCTTGGCAACATAGGCTCCATGTTTCCTGGCCATGGCCTCAGCCGGGTGCAAACTTTCTTGCTTCACTCATTGAGGCCTGCAACTGTTCAAAAATACGTAGTGGCGTTGGAAAACCTCAACAATGAGTTGTTGACACACCATCAGTGTTGGGGGGAAATGACCGAAGAGGAACAAGACAACTTCATAGCAGAATGGTTGATAGACGGCTACGAGTCAGGAGCCGGAAAAGCTGAATACGGTTGGGCGCTGTCAGCAGTGCAAAAAATCTGGCCTAGACTGCGGTTAAAGACAGCATGGCGAGTTTTTGACATCTGGGGCCAATACCAGCCAGCGAAGCAGGCTCCAGCAGCCACCCCAGAATTCTTGCAGAGTTTGATGGCTATGGCTTTATTTTTGGGCAAGCCCCAAGTTGCCTGTGTGATGGTCTTTTGCTACGCAGGACTATTGAGGGTGAGAGAAGCCTTGTCACTCCGATGTAAGGATGTCATAGCGCAAGCTGAAGCAGTTACTCTATGTCTAGGGCAAACCAAGTGGGGCATTGAGCAGAAAGTGGTCATGCGCAATGGCTCAGTGGTGCATTTCACTTTAGAATTTCTTAGCAGGTTTGCTGGATCCCCTGATGACTTTGTGTTCTGTGTCTCTTATTCCTCGTTCTTACGCTGGGTGAAGAAGCTTTCATTCTTGCTAGGGGGTGACGGAATGGTGATCAGCACTCATTCCTTTCGTAGGTCTGGTGCGTCAGAATTGAGTCGGATGGGAATGCCACTGCAAGATATTCTTCTGTATGGTCGTTGGTCCACTGAGCGAGCTGCCCGAGAATACATAAGACAAGGGGAGGTAGCAGTACACCGTAGTAGACAAGCCCAGCAGGGTACCTTGAAGCAGCGTATTGAGAAGTGGAGTGCAGCGTTAGTTTTGTCATGGTCTTTTTTGGATGTGCTTTCAAAACAAATTGACTTCGATATTCCCACTCACCGGCTGACAAAAGAGCGGTTCGATTTATGTGAGAAGGCTATCTTTACTTTATTGGACACTTGCCAGTTAGTTGGAAGATTGGGAAGAGCCAGCGCGCTTGCTTTTCAGTTCAACTCACATCGTTGAAGATGTTGTGAGTGATGCCTTTGATCCACTGTATGGCAGTGGATACATACATCCATTTCCTCATGGAAAATTTGCTGCTTGTCCCAGGAAGGGTCCGATGATGACTTCAGGAATGGAGAAACCTTAAATATATATATATATGTAGACATAAATATATACATATATATATATATACAAATATATACATGTATATATGTATATAAGAATCAGTGTACATGTCCAAGTATGCAAGGTATGTGTCTATGTCTGGTCTATCATGTATGCAACATGATCCTAACATAGTCCTGGCTTCCATGCGTTTTTTTTTTCGCTGTTTTGCACATGGGCGTGTAAAACCCATTGTGAATAGCACAAAATGGACACAACGTGCTGTAAAACGCAAGGCATTTGAACATATTGCAAAATCCATGGTGAGAGAAAGTGCCATAGGGGTGGTCGAAATAGCAAGATGCTTGTTGTCAAAACAAGCAAAATCAGCGGGACCGCAACGGACGACGTTACCTTGTTTTTTTGTGGCAGTCTTAATGATGGTAGACAACTGGTTTTTTTGAGGTTCCCCCATTATTAATCCTAAACCTTTGTATTTTGGTTGAACCCGCGGAAAACAGGATTGCTCCAGCTGGTTTTTTTTGGCGAAGGATTGCCACTGTTGGGCTGAAAACACTTGAGATTTTGTCTCTCTACTTAAAACATTCCTCTGAAAACTCCGAATCACACATCAATCAGCCGAATCATCGACCTGGTATACCGTATGTTGGGGAGCAACAGGAGAAACTGGAGGGCCAACTGCCACTTCAAAGTTTTGTTTTGTGGACAGATAGGGAAAGATATTGGGGTCGTGATTCGTGATCTAAACCCAGAATAAGTCAGAATCCCAGATATTGGCGTTTTTGTGTGTGGTCTTTGGATCTTGGGTGGGATGTTCTTGGGCAGTCTTCTCCCTTTGATCCCCAAATTCTTGGTCATATCTATCTACTGGTTGTTTGTGTCAGAAAGTTGGTCCATTGGTGAGTTTCCATGGTAGATAGGTGTGAAGGCATATTTTTTTTTGCTAAAAAATATATCATATGTACGTATTGTATGTACGTATATATATATATAATATGTATGTATATGTATGTATAGATACATTGTCACAATGCACATGCGTTTTCATTTGTGCAGACGCATGGGTGATCCTTAAAAGTATGTAGTTTCAATATACACACTCAAATGTAAAGCTGTTCTAAAAACATATGGTTTTATATAAATTCTCCCATATTGAAGAATGGATGAAACATGGGGTAACTGGGGTAACTGGGGTATGGCTTCTTGTTGGGTTTACATGATTATCTAAATTATATAGTCTATTTGAAGTCATTTGATAACTGTCACAGAGTGCCTGACCGGACCGAGGAGCGGAAGAACGAGGCAATCATTTGTGAAGTCCTCGGTTCCAGTTACGTTCCAACATGGTTAGTTATTGTTTTCAATTTTTTTGGCATAGATGTGGGTGTTTCTCTGCCAACGGAGTATAACCCAAAATGGCAATTTCAATAGGTAAAATGATGATTCACCAGTTATTTCAGGGGCTTTTACCACCATTTTCAGACACGCTCATGTGTACATCCTCCGAAGTAATAAAGACGGGCTCGTCCCCGTGTTGCTGAAAGCTTACACTCTGCGCAGCCACTTGTCGGTGCCTTGTGTGGCTGCAAGGGTCTCTTCACCCTGTGGGCAGATTTCATGTCAAATACGTATGGTTTAAACTGATTGACCCCTCAACACGTTGATATTTTCATGCCCAAAATTGATATCATGCCCGAAATGACAAGTGTTTCTGTTTCTATTTGATGGAAACACATCCAATGATTTCCGGCCATGCAAAAACCATCCCTTGTGGCGCCATGTCGTGAGGTCATCGCAGATTCGCTCTATGGTCAGCCAGGAGGTGCGCACTGAGCCATCTTATTTTTGTGGCAAATCATAGACACTTGGACCACTTTATTCTCCCATTTTTTTTTGGACAGCCATTCGCAACTTTTTTTTTGGAAACCCCACTTGGCTGGGTTTCTGTTTTTTTTTTCCACTTGGGTTTCTGGTAAACACAAACCAAAGCCCCCGGTTCCAGGCCCTTGCCATGGCGGCTGCAGAGGCGGAACGATTACAGACCCAGCTCTTGAACCAAGAGGCGGAACGATAACGAGCTGCGGATGAATGGTCAAAAATCCATCATTTTAAGGGAACGACATAGGGATATTATGGGATACAATGGGGATATAATGGGAATATAGTAACTAGTAGATGGATTTTATGGGATATGAATGGACCAACAAAAAACAACAACATTTCGCATGTTGTTAAGCATCCTGATTCTTGGCGAGCTCGTAAGTTTCAATGTTGATTGGTTGAGTGAGTTCAACGGACCCATTCTGCAGTGTATAACATCTCCATTTTAAGATCTTGAACTCCCTGTTCTGGGCTGCTAAGTCCAGATACTCGGTTATACCCCAAATTGGGGACACCCTCTAGTTTTGGGTGTTGCATAAACATCCCCACAATTTCTTGTGCAAACAAACCTCCAGTCTTAGCGCTTATAGTATAAGTATAGCTTCTACCACAATTTGAAGGGTCGAAATCTCTATCAAATTGAACTTCCCACATCAACTCCCAAAACATTTGGGTTTGTCTGAATATAGGCTTCCCCATTCCACAAGAACTTCAATGGCTCGATTAGGGGTTGGTAAATGTCCTAATTGAACATCACCCATCAGGCTTCACGTATCTCCAACAGATACATTTTTTAAATTTCAGAGTTCCCAATTCCCAGGACAAATTTACCATCCCCTGTAAATCATCATGAATCAGATCCGATTATTAATCCATTAACAGTGGTTGGTAAATGATTCGTTCACCCAGATTGATTGTCCTAAATTGCTGGGTTTACCCAGATGAAAAGTCATTAGATATACATAGATATACAGTATCCAACATTATCCTACTATGGTTTCCCCTATAATTATCATTAATTATCCAATGATCAGGCATATGATGCAATATTTCCCTAGAATTTTCCAAGCCCTCAGGCCGAGGCTGCCAGGTTGCGCCAAGCCTTGGCGGAATCCTGGGCGGCTCGGGCACCAGGCGTTTGAATGGAACACAGCAGTTTTCATGGGGAAAATCATGGAAAATCTCTGTTTTCATGGAGGTTTGAATGGTAAAAATCATCTACTCATCTAGAAAATTCTAGAAATGGTTGCGTAAAACATCTATACGAATCTATACATGGAGGTTTGAATGGTGGTGATTTTCCCCAGGTTTGATGACTTGAAGGTATCTTCAAGATGATGGGTGGAGGTAACAACCACCGCCCATATACCGACCGGTTTTGACCGGCCAGGTGAGCAGGAAGTGTCCGAAGGGGTTCAGGAGGAGCTGCTGGGGCTCGAGGGCTACAGGGTATGGGTTACATGTGTCATATGGGTTATAAATTGCAACAACCCAAAAAGCCTTTTTGTCTGATGAAGAAGATCAAGTTTTTCAAATCCAATTTTGAGTTTGTTTGAAAAAATGATACCCCTTTTCATCCCATGGTTTCTCCTCATTTTCCCTATCAAAATAACCATTTCGGTCTTATCCATCTATCTCCACATTTTCAGACAGACACACATACACATAACATCTCGTGGCTGGTTAATGTTGCTTAGCTGTAGTGCATGATATCAATCCCATGAAATATCCCCCATTCACATCTCCATCCCAGATCCGATCTCCCCGTGAAGCCTAGGAGCTCGAGTGGCTGTCGCAGATGCAGCAAGACGTGCAAGCCGAGGTGCGTAGGCTTCAGCAGCTGGAGAGGACTGAGGTGCCAGCTGGGAGATGTCGGGTGGAAACTGGACCTGAATTCACGGTGGATTTAGGTCCTATTGATTCATGGCTATATGCTGCTGCTTTTTTTAGGCGTATGCCTACCTTTGGACAAACCCATGCCGACGATGCATGTCGATCATGAGTCGCTCCAAAAGTGGCAGAGACCATGAGGCCACGACAGTTTCCCGTGCCAAAATCAGAATCAAGCAATGTCTTGGTACCCCATTTCTGGTCGCCATCACATTATTGAAGATGAAAGACAACGGATGTCCCTTGGTGACAATCCCACATTTTTGTTGATTATTGAACCATGATCCCCAACTTTCGGGTTTGATAGTTTGATTGTTAAATCCCCATGTTCTGCCCCGCATTCCACCCATTTGGGCTTGGCCGATCATTATGTCCCATCATTTTCCCTATGGGTGTCATGGGAGGCCGCACTGGGCTCGCGCCTGCAGCAAGTCTCAGAGGCAGTGAGGGGTACCCACAAGTGGTGGGGGCTGTTTCTTGGGTGTAGGGCGGGTTTCTAGGCCCAAAAGAATCCAACATTTGTCGTTGCTGAGAGGGAAAACAATGAATTTGGGGCAATTTTGAGAAAACCATATGGCTAAGGAAACAATGTCTGGAATAATTGGGGATGGCTAATCGCACTGCACCCTCAATTTCCTAGTTGAGAGTAGGTGAAACTCCCCAATAGAGGTTTATTATTCAGTATACCGATGATGTAAAAAGGACCCCTAGTCATGGTTGGATAATGCAATGGGTTTATTATTGGGTTTACCGGTTTACCCCATAAAATCCCATGGGATTTGCCCTTGTTGTACCTTGGTACGACCTCAGGAGAAGGCGGAGCTGAAATCTGCCCGAGTGGACTTTGAAGATTCTGGCGGGCGAGGGGAACTTGTGGAGACAAATATAACTCCTATCAATCTTCATGAATTTACATCATTTCTGGGATTTACCACCAGTCTTGGTGTAATCTGTATGGCAATACCTCAATGTCCATCCCATGGGGTCGTGAGCAGGTAGTGCTCTCAGGGAGGCCATTGCCTCGCAGAGTGAGGGCTACGTGCGGCGCATCGATCACTTGGCCCGGGGACCCAGGGGACCTGTGGGGACATGTGGGGACCTGGAGCCAGTTGCTAGGAAACATCTTGGACCAACTCACAATTCCCCAAGTTGTTCAATGAATTTGGGGACCTACAATCACCATGGTCATTGTGTCATGGTTACTAACCTTATCATCCAAGTACCCTAAATTATACATGCTTTTTCGAAGCTGTCTGATCCTTTGTTGAGAATCCTGCCTTTTTCAACAGCTGTGGGGGTCAGCCATCAACTACCCCCTCGGGCCCAGGAATTGGCGCGGCGGAGCGCGGATCAAGACAGAGTCAAGCTGATCCAGGAGTGCGCTGATCTGCAGGTCCCACATGGGTTGGGACTGGGTTCAGCTCCTTGGGTTTGGGGGGGTTCAACCCCTGATGACTCAAGCCACGTACTAACGAGTCCTTGGCAATTCTTGAAAGCCTCTGTTTGCTGGGAGGCCTATTAGATGGGGCAAGGGACCTTCCTGGTTGGGATTTTCAATCACTGATCCAGCTTCTGGAAAATACCTCCAAATTCTTGATCACCAGAATTTTTTACATGGTATAGTACCATATAGTACCCAATTGCCCAGGCATTGCCCAGATCAAATGTGTAATTCCGTTCGCACGCCATTGCGGCAACGCCATCCCCGTGGCGCCCATGGGCTGAGCATCAGGCGCAGCTGGATGCCATGGTTCCGGTCCTGCGGAATCTGTCGGATTTGGAGCATCGCCATGGCGCCCTCGAGGCCAGGTGCCTCTGTGAAAACGCTGTGGGGCAGATGAACACTCCCTGTCCAATCCTTCAACCCTGTGTTGTTTAGGTCATCTTAGCATACATGGAACCACCTGATTTGGGACCCAGGTGGGTTTACCCAGAATTGGGGTATACAGTATACATATTACAATTACTCAACTTAGCAATTTCCTTGGGAACATCAAGGATTTTTACTTTGGGATTTTGGTATACACTCAATTTTTGGGACTGGGCAAAGGCAGCAACAGCCGGCGCGCAGGCTGCGCAGGGCGCCCTGACCACACAGAGCGCGCGACTGCGGGAGATGAATGCAGCACTTGGAGCGCAGCTTCTGGCAGAGAAGGGAGCGGTTCAGGACGGGGACAACTTGGTGCTAGATCTCCAGAACCTCAGGGTGAAAATCAGCATTTTCCACCCTTTTTCAATCGATTTAAAGTGAAGGGTTCCCATTATAAAGGGGTCAACGCTCAGTGGACAGTTGATCCATCCCACGAAAACCAGCTTTGTTTGCGATGGAAATCCGCCATTCTTGGTAGGTAAACTAGCCAAGTCCTGGGGAAGCCCATATGTTCAATGGTAAAGGCTCCAATTTTTCATCAAGAAGCCACCATGCTTGGTCTTAAACATCCAATTATTGATATGACTACATTTGCAGCTAAAATGACCATTTTAAGATGCTCCCAACCACAGCATTTTTTCTACTTTAAGCCAGTATTTTGGAGCAACTTTGGTGCTGAACCCACCATTTTTCCTCCGAAAATCCATGGCGCCCCAAGTCCAGTTCCCAGGAGGTGGAGCCCACCGCTGAGTCCGTGATCCGCGCCCTACAGCTGAGGCTGAAGTTGCAGGAGAGTTCTTGTGGTTTGCAAAGCGAAAGACATCGAGGATTTGGGACTTGAAATATGTAAAAAATGGATAAACATGGGATTGTGACTCTTGAAACATGGTTTTTTTTGGCAGAATGACATGGGATTTGGTAACTTTTTGATCACGATCAATAGGATATGCACTACTACATGAACAACAGGATGTGAAGTAAAGTGCATCAAGAAGTGAAGGGATTGTGCCTGAAACCAAGGAATCTGCACATTGGCAAGGGGTTGAAGCAGACATGGGTCGGGACATGCACGAAGTGTGCTATTAAATTGGAACTTTCAGTGGGTGAAAGCCTTGTATTTGTGGGTCATTTAACGGGTTATTTGAAGGGTTAATCTGGTGATTTGCACCCATTCTCAACGGCAAGCTTCTTCGATGGCTTTATGTAATTTTAAACCTCACCAAACATACTGGTTGGTGTCCAAATTCCCATCGGTTTCAGGCCCAAAAGTGCCGAGAAGAAACCTATCGTTTTCTGTTTTTTCGAGTCATGTCCCTGGGTTCCAACTTGATGGCCGTGCCAGGAGCGCCAAGAAGCTCAAGATGCGGAGCGCCAGAAGTTGTCGGAGAAGATCCGGGCGCTGGAAAGGGGCGAACCCCTGCGCCCCGAGCCTGGACCTGGGACCGGCCACGGCTACGGTGGATCCGGCGCTGCTGGGGGGGCTGGTGCGGCTTTGAAGACAGCCACCTCGGCCTTGAGGGGTGGCATAGGTCGACTGAGGGATGGCTTGAAGATATGATCTTGGAGATCTGCCGAATCCTGCGTTCGAAATGTGGGAAACTGACATTCTGTGTTTTGGCTTCGCTCATCTCAACAGGGAATTGGTTCACGCCATCAGACATCAGTGACCTTGAGCCATCCATTTTCGCGGACCACTCCGCAAGCAAGTTTTGTTTTAAGCGCACCCAGAAGGAGTTAAGACCAACTTGTTGAACTGTTGAATGCAGATTTGATTCACTGTACTGAAATGTTCGCAGTCACTATTTTGCTTTCGCCAGGGCGTGTTGCCCTAGGTGTTTCAGGCCGCTGAACGGGTTGCAGATTTCTGCGCCAGCAGCGACGTTAACAAACTTGCGCCCCAACGCGAAGGAAAGACACCTGCATAGTCTGCAAGACCGAGTGAGCTGCGTGTGGCAATGGTTGATACGCTCAGAATGGGGAATAAGTTCATCCGACAATCCTGTTGATGTCATCGCTATGACGGAAAGTGTCTTTTCCTGGTTTGGTTGATAAATCGTAATTCCTTGCGTGCCGCTTCTTACTGTGCCTTTAATTTAAAACCATGACTGACCTAAATAGTCTGAAACCCTGTATTTTATCTTTCATGTTTGAAGCTGTAGCTAAAACCTGCAGTAAATGCTAACGCGCGTCTATATGAAGTGGGTGCCGCTGCTAGTTATTTGTGGTGGAACTCGAATATCTGCAGAGCTGGTCGTTGCCTTTGCTGTCACTGTTGCTTTTGTCAAACAGATAGGATAAACTACAAGTTCTCTGGCTGCGACGGGGTTACGGGTCAACCAAAGCCGTTTTTTAAAACTTTTGCTAGCGCATTGCTACAGGGATCTAGATGATACAATTACGTACAAATTCGCAAAGTTGAGCCGCAATCTCAAAAATATAGGAAATTGTTGAGTAGCACGGAAATTCACTAGGACATCCTTAGGTTTAAGGAGCTAAGTGTTACATCTTGACTTTTCTTCATGTTGAAATAACAAGCAGACAGGAACAGAAAAAAATATCCTTGAACATGGGTGTGGGGGGAAAAAAAACTAGCGCAAACCTAGCGGGTTTGCTAGCGCTGCCTTGCAGAATTGGTAAATTTAGTTGCGTGCCGCCTCATAACGAAGAGAAAAAACCACTAGGTCCACACTGATTATCAACAACTGTTACAAAACTTCTGTCAACTATTTATCCCAAATGGTCATATATATAATATACATAGAATATCATAGAATATAATTATATATATATATGAAATATTATATATGTATAACATATATTATGTATATAATATAATATAATATATAATATATAATATAATATAATGTAATATAATAAAATATAATATAATATAAAATATACTATATAATATAATAATAATATATAATATTATATAATATATAATCAAATATATAATATATAATATAATATAATGTAATATAATATAATATATAATATATAATATATAATATATAATATATAATATATAATATATAATATATAATATGATATATAATATAATATAATATCATATAAAATATAATATATAATATAATTTAATATAAGATAAGATAGCATAATATAAGATAATATAAGATAATATAAAATATATATAATATATATAATATGATGTAATAAATATAACACATATAATATAGTATAATATATATATATATAAACAATAATATAATATAACATATATAATATAATGTACATAATATATTATATTATATTTAATAAATTATTTATTATATATATACTATATTATATATAATATTATATATTATATAGTATGTATTATATATTATATATTGTATATTATAAATTATATATTATATATTTTATATTATATATTATATATTGTATATTAATTATATATTATATATAATATAATATAATATATATTATATATTATATATTATATATTATATATTATATATGTTATATATATTATGTGTTATACATACATTATATATGTATTATATTATAAAGTAATATATATATATATAATGTAATATATATATATATATAATGTAATATATATATATATCATGTAATATACATATATATATAATGTAATATATATATATATAATGTAATATATATATATATATAAATTATACTTTTTATAGTATAATATATATATATAGCACACCATCACATAGCACCGATACAAAGAGGCTTTGGTCGACTTGTTTCCATGCAAGAACTCGATTTTTAGACAGGTTGCTAAAGAAAGGCTCCACCGATGCTGCTTTGAGCGTCCCAGCATCAATGGTTCAGGCTCAAAATCCAAATATTTCCTCAGAGATATAGTAGTAAAAAACAGCCGCCATGTTTCCACAAAACGTAGATGTTGATGCAGAAACCATAACACATACAACAGCAGCTGCGGAAAAAAACCAGTTTCATTGTAGCAACCTCAGCTCGCAACAAATAGCAAAGATGGCATTGGTGGATCGGCACCAAGGAGGACCGATGGAACAAACAGAAGGATTTTCTTACACCTCCCATGCCAAAGACGTGGCTGCTGGCCATGGTTTGCTGGGAGGCATGGGTGATCCACTTGTCTTCCCTAAAAAGCAAAGAGATGATGTTTTTCATGTTGTCGTGTCTGGAAATGCATGAACATGCGGTACTTAAAAGTATTTAATAGGAATCATCATGATAACCCAGTAGATTGATGATATCCTATTTTCAGACAAACCTACATAAGCTATCATATGCTTTATTTGCGCTTCAAAGCCGAAGAGAGACTAGAAGAATCTGACAGCCTATTTCTGTCCGAAGCCGGCACACGACGTTCATTTTTTCGTGGTTAGTGCAATGTTACAACTGGGTGGTTTCCGACCACTGACTGTTTCTGGCAACAAATGATGGAGGTGCTGTTTCTGCCCTTTGCGATGGACTCAGCAAAGTGCTGCATGGATGCCGCGGTGACCCATTCCCTGAACAGCATGGAGGAATAAGAGCTGGCAGAATGTGATAGTGCCAATCCATCCTTTCATGATTTCTGTTTTGTAGGTCAATGGGTTTTTAATGGGACTAAATATTGGTGAATTATGGTCTTGGAGTAAGACTGAAACATGAAGCTTTGATCAGCTTCCTCTGGGATTGGAATCATCAATGACGTGGAAGCTCCAACCTTCGATTGATCAGTGGGGGTTGCGTCAATTTTCGAAGGTCCCAAGCATAGCCCTTCGATATTTTTTGTGGGTACTAGCTATGACATAATTTTGGGCATCATCGAATGTGGATCCATCATATCACTGCATCCGTTGACCTGTTGCCCATGACCTCTGGACTCTGGAGACCTTTCGGAGAGAGATGGCCGGCCTCAGGCCTTGGCTTTGGATCACTTTGACGAGACATTGCATCTCAGAGCGTTCGGGATGCCAGTGGGCTGTGGGGTGAATGGGTAGCTGGCATGATCTGACCCTTAGCAACTGGCCCTGATCTGCATGTGCCAAGGCTGCCAAAAACGGTGGATGCACCTGACCTTTATCTTGCAAGATGGGAGTGTCTCGACGTCGGGTTTCAATGGGTGATGTTGAATAGGGTGAAGCTCAAGGATACAGTGGAAAGAAGGCGTAGTCACGGTTGACGTTTTGTCATTTCATGCAATTTCACGTGACGATCACATATTAAGTTCAAATCACGAGCACCAAGCTGTCGCAATGCGCTGATCCACTGCCCAGGTTTCAAACAAGGGCGGACATGACGGAGGCGTTCCGTGCAGACCAGTTCGACCTGTTCCCAAGCCCCATCGGAAAGCTCTTGAACGCGCCAGGGGCCGAGACTAAAGGGAGCGGGAATGGAGCAGTGGTCAGTGTACCCCACCCCTTCATAGCTGTAGATTTGCTGGTTTATCATCATCTTCCTGGCACACGACTTTGACCAACGAACCAAGCAGAGGCACGAGAAAGAATTGGCATCTGTGGGTCTAGATGAGTCAATGTTGGTCCAACTATCTTCAGTGTAGCTTGGCTCAAGCCACACCCGCAGCTGAAGACCCATCCGAATGCCAGACTCTGGAGTTGGAATCACTTTAGAATTGACGCTGCATCGAATAAAGCCGTATCAGAAACAGACCCAGGAAATGAGAATGTGCCCAAAAACATGAAATTTCTCGAAGGATTTTCGATCATCCGCAGAAGC